ACAGCGAATCTTTGTACAGAGGCGGAATCGTTATTGTTGGACGCCACTGTGACAGCCCGTGCGTTGTTCAGTTTTTTCTGCTTCTCCGTGTTGCTTCGCACAGAGCGAAACCCGTTAGAACTTTTATCGTCGTTATCTTCGTCATTCTCTTCTCGTCCTCTTCATCTGCATCTTCCAGCAGTTTTCCCGCAAATTTCGGAATATGTGTAGCATGAGATCACTTTTGTCGTGTTGCAAGCCCAAAATGTTGCAAATTATGGCAAGGTCGCTGTTTGATAAATTTTGCGCAACGTGAGACACCTTCTGGTTGAAAAGCTCATCAGTTTCCAAAAAGTTAAACCCGTCGAAACCCCGTAGTCGCTTTCGGTTATGCCGATCGCCGTCATTTTCGTAGACAAACTGGTGCAGCAGGTCAACATTCTTATTTTTTTCAGATTTTAACGCCTGTAAAACTGACTCAAAATCTGCTAGACTGGACATGTTTGCAGAAACAGTTCTTGTAAATTTTCGCTTGTACTCGTTGCTCTTCTTTACACTCGTATTAGTCGTTTTGACTCGCGTTCTCTACCCGTCGTTTATATACACATACGCGTCGTTATATATGTATATGGCAGATCACAGTGGTGGTTGTAACACACTGGTTTTAACACACTCGTACGTCGTTTTTTAAGTTTTTCCTCGTTTTCCACAGTTTTTGTCGTTTAAAATCTTTTCCTAAGCACACTTTTCGTCGTTTTACTTTTCACTTTTCACGTAGGTTGAGCCCCCATATTTGTGGGATTGGTTTTTCTGATTTAATTGTAATGTTATTATAATATGTTTATAGTTTTATTTAAATGGAATAGTGATAAGTATACTCAGAAAAAAACGCATCCTAAATTTGAGCGCGGTTTATACTTGATTTCGGATAGTATTTTTTGGGCTTGTTTTAAGAATGAGAATGTTGCGCGTTCTTAAATTAAGAATAAATCGTTCTTAAAACACAAATTATCCCAAAAATGGCTTGATTCAAGAACATTTTTCAATAAACAGGACCAAACAAGTACGATTTCTGCTTAACCTAAGTATAATATATTCTGAAAAAAAATGTTTCTTGGTAAGTACGAACATTCTTAGTGTGATCACTAAAAGAACTTAATTTCCGAAAAATAGGTTTTAGTATTCTTAAAATAGGAATGAATTATTCCCAATAGTACTACAAAGCTTCAAAAATAAAAAGTATATCAACAAGTACAATTTGTGCTTAAATCAATAATATAACGCACTTCTTATGTTTGTTGATGAATATGCTGCGCCTTCTTGAATCAAGAATACATCATTCTTAAAACCCAAACTATCCGAAAATGTTTTTGATTCAAGAAAAATCATCGATGCTCTCAAGGAAAAAGGGTTTCTGCAAAGAACGTCAGTAACATTATAAACAGGAAAAAAGAGCCGCAACCACTCTTCAGGGTCGAGCTGGAGCCAGACAGCAGAGTCTTGAAGAAAAATGAAGTGCACTTCATTTATAACCTGCAATACTTATGGAACCGAAGAATTAATGTCGAAGATCCACATGAAATGAACGGCCCAGTGCAATGCAAAAATTTTCAGGAGTATGGACACACCAGGGCATACTGTTCACTTCGAACAGTCTGTGTAGCTTGTGGAGACTTCCACAATTCGGCTAACTGCCCTGCCAACAAAGAAGACCCCAAAAAGAAACAAGGAAGAACGCTATAGTCGAGTACCTCGACTATCAGATACCCGTTACTCAGCTAAATGGAGATATGCAAGCAGCAAAGCGAGATTAAAATGCGCCACCTACCGGCGGTATACAGATTTAAGCGTTATGGGCGTTAGAGTGGGCGTGGCAAATTTTTTTTTTTTGGATCAATCGATAGGTATTGCCGAGACCAATACATTTCAGTTAAAACTTTTTATCTAGCTTAAGAATTGTGGGCGTCACAGGTTTTTGCGGTTTGTGGGCGTTAAAGTGGGCGTGGCAAACTTTTTTTTGAGTCGATCGATAGGTATTGATGAGAACAATACATTTCAGTTAAAATTTTTATTCTAGCATCAAAACTGTAGGAGCCACAGTTTTGGGCGGTTTGTGGGCGTTGGAGTGGGCGTGGCACATTGCTGAAACAAACTTGCGCTGCGTAAAAAGCTCAGGAATCTGCACGCCAAATCTCAATAGCCTAGCTCCCATAGTTTCCGAGATCTCAGCGTTCATCCGGACGGACAGACAGACGGACAGACGGACAGACGGACAGACGGACAGACGGACATGGCTAGATCGACTCGGCTAGTGATCCTGATCAAGAATATATATACTTTGTGGGGTCGGAAACGCTTCCTTCTGCCTGTTACATACTTTCCGACGAATCTAGTATACCCTTTTACTCTACGAGTAACGGGTATAAAAATGCGTTAACTGCCAAGGTAACCACACGGCAAACTACAGGGGCTGTCCGATCTACAAGGAGGACCGCATGCGAAAAGTGATAGCAACGCGTCATCAGAACACCCAAAATGCGTACACTTACTCGCGTACGACGCCGGAAGTATTTTTCGGCACGGCTGCAAGATCCTCATTTGGTCAACTAAATACCCAGAAGGGATTCTCATACGCCGATGCCCTTCGATCGGGGACGGAAAACCCACTCCAGTCTAATCTAGGAAACGCTCAGCAGATCCAAGTACAGTCGCAAAGCACTCTGGAAACTATGATGGTCACCATGCAACAAAGTATGATGGAACTCATGTCATTCATGAAAACGACCATGCAAACACTGGTTCAAAACCAGAACATGGTGTTACAGCTACTTGCAGCTAAGCAGTCCAAATAATCAGATGGCAAATCTACGAATAACAATGTGGAACGCCAATGGCGTTTCACGGCACAACCTTGAAGTAACACAGTTCCTGAATGAAAATCATATCGACATTATGCTACTGGTAGAGACGCACCTCACAAACAAATACAACTTCCAAATAAGAGGCTACACTTTCTACCGCACAGACCATCCAGATGGTAAAGCCCACGGCGAAACCGGCATCCTAATCAGGTTTTCAACTAATTACAAAAACTAATATTACAAAAATCACAGATCACCCCTCAGGCTGACGTCGCACAGAACCAACTGGTTAAAATATAAAAAGTATGTAAGCTCACACATCAAATTAACCCCTCATTTCAACATAGAAGCGGACATCGACTGCTCTACCGATGCTCTTGAAGAAGTATTCGTGGAGGCAGCCACTATCTCAACACCACAAGGCAGGGACGTGCAAACCAACCACTTCAAAACTAATCTGCAAATTGAACGGTTAGTCCTAGAAAAGAGGCGCCTGCGACGTGCCTGGCAAACCACTAAGGAAGCCACTCGCTCACTAAATCGAGCTCTAAAGCAAGAAACAGAAAATGCACAGCTGCAGTACATTAAAAAACTATCGCCAACCACTTCAAAACATCCTCTGTGGAGGGCTCACCCAAATCTGAGCTCTCCAATCGAAACAGTCACTCCGATAAGAAACTCATCTGGCATCTGGGCCCGCAGCGACGAAGATAGAGCCGAAACTTTTGCTTTACATCTAAGAAACGTCTTCCACCCGAACCCTGCCACTGGTTCATTTTTCCTACCACAAAACGGATCTGAATCTATTTCCCTACCACCATTGTTTCAGCCAAAGGAGATCGCGAAAGTCATTGGGGAACTGAAACCGAAAAAGGCCCCTGGCGGCGACCAAATAACCCCAAAAATGTTAATTGAACTTCCAAACTCTGCCATTGAGGTTATTTGTAAGCTCTTCAATGGGATTATAACTCTCGGCTACTATTCGAAAAAATGGAAAAAATCTATTATCATTATGATACCGAAGCCCGGAAAAGTCCACACAATTCCGTCATCCTACAGACCAATTAGTTTATTATCGTGTCTGTCTAAGCTGTTCGAAAAATTCCTTCTAACTCGCATAACACCATATCTAGGAGCACACAATGTTATCCCTGCTCATCAATTTGGATTTCGTCAAAACCATGGAACAATCGAACAAGTTAACAGAATAACATCAGAAATACGCAAAGCCTTTGAGCATCGGGAATACTGCAGCGCAATATTCCTCGATGTATCTCAAGCCTTCGATCGAGTATGGCTAGATGGCCTCATGCACAAAATCAAAACACACTTACCTGATTACACTCACAAGCTTCTTGAGTCGTATCTATACAACAGGACCTTCGCAGTAAGGTGCAATACAACAACATCCGACGACTACATTATCAAAGCTGGAGTCCCGCAAGGAAGCGCGCTAGGGCCTACTCTGTTCCTCCTATACACAGCGGATATTCCCACGAACGAGCAGCTAACAACATCTACGTTCGCTGACGACACCGCAATTTTAAGTCACTCGAGGTGCCCAGGCCGAGCCACAACACAGCTAGCAAACCACCTCCTCGTAGTAGAGAGGTGGCTATCTGATTGGCGGATTAAAATAAATGAACAAAAATGTAAACACATAACGTTTACTCTCAACAGGCAAACATGCCCTCCACTATTATTGAATAATACGCAGATTCCCCAAGTCAACGATGTAACGTATCTCGGCGTCCACCTTGACAGACGACTAAGCTGGAGAAGACACATCGAACGCAAGAAAGTACATCTAAACCTAAAGGCCAGCAGCTTCTACTGGATTCTTAACGCTCGTTCGCCCCTGCGTCTGGACTACACGGTTTTGCTCTACAACTCCACTCTCAAGCCCATCTGGACATATGGCTCCCAGCTATGGGGGAACGCCAGCAGAGCAACATAGACATTATACAGCGCGTTCAATCGAAAATCCTGCGAACTATCACATGGGCAACATGGTATATTCGCAACCAAAACATCCACAGGGACCTAAGCATTCTTACTGTAAAAGATGAAATAGACAAACAAAAAGCGTCCTACAACGAAAAACTCTCTGTGCACCCCAATCGCCTCGCAAGAGGCTTGACTTGGGTTTCCAGCCGATCCCGTCTACAACGCAACGACCTGCCAAGCCAGCTATAACTTTCGGGCCCCTTTAGCACAACATCAGTCATATGATTGTAAGTTAGATGATTTAGTCTAAGATTTGATACACTTATTGTTAGTATCCAAAGGGAGAAGATTCAATAAATAAATGCAAAGCATTTAAAAAAAAAAAAAGGAAAAATCAGGTTTTAGTATCCTTAAAATAGGATTGAATTATTCTCATTAATAGTACAAAACTTCAAAAATAAAAGGTATGTCAACGAGTACAGATTGTGCTTAAGTCAATAATAGAACGCACTTATTATGTTTGCTATGAAAGAACAAATGTTGCTTAATTCTAATAGGAAATTAATAATTGCCCTTATATACTCTGAATCGCATATATTACCGTACGCTTCTGTTTTTAAAACATTACAAATTTTACGAGTACATATGAACAAAGAACACAACGAATTGAATATTATTTATAATTAATAATGAAGTTCTCCAAACAACCACATTTTGTGCTTAGATCGGAGAAAGAAATGAAAAATGTATAATTGTCCTTATATACATATGTACTCTGAAACGGAAAACGGAAATACGTCAGGATTTTTCATACAGTCCAATCTACGCCTGGTCGCTTATACACATCCCCAATTGTGCAATTTTGTTGTAAAAAAATTGACACAAGTGTAAGTGTTATCTTATTATGTAAGCGATGGGCTGAAAAAATATCGATAGTTTGAAGCTTGCCCAAAACAAAAAGTATTCATTTGAATCAAAGCATTAAAAAAAGTATAAAGAACTCTTTAATTAATATATATATTAATATATATATATATATGAATATATTTAATAGGTAAAGTTAACTATAGAACAAAAATCTCGATACCAACGCGAGATGATATTTGATATATCGATACAAGTGAATGGTAGCCCCAGCTCTAGAAAGGAGCCATTCACTTTTGATCTGATCGCGGGTGCCAAAGTTATGTGAAAATGAGTGCAAAAAGTGACGCGAAGCTGGAAGAGTTTTTAAAAGAATATGAACTGGAAGATGTTTGGGACTACCTCGAAAGTAAGTAATAATATTGCGACATCCAATGTGTTATTGTGAATTAAAGTTAAGTAATAACGGTGCACTTGGTATTCCTGCGAAAAGCACAGAACGTGGTTTTTTTTAAATAATAAATAAATAAAATACATATGTACATAGAACAGTACCGCGAAAAGGGCGCACTTTTTATAGTTATTTTTCGCTAGATACATATGTACTTATTTATGTGCATACTTATGTACATATTTATATGTACATTGTATATGGGTGTGTACATTTTTGAGTGCTAAAGCGCATTTTCGTTTTCTCTAAACATACACACATCTGACAAAATACTACCAATTACATGTATATGTATGCATGTACATAGACGCATACCGCAAGAAAAGGCGCACTTTTCGTAGTTTTTTGATTATGCACATATGAATTTGTACAGTTTTGAGTGATACTAAAACCGCGTGTTGTGACTTGTCAACACACGTTCATATATACATACATATGTAGATACACTGGCAAGCACATGTTTAGGCTTGGATTAATAATTGCGATCCAGTAATAAAGTTTTGCGGATTTTTATTTAACAAGTTATACTACATTTTTAAAGATTCTTACAGAATTATCATTTTTATCGTAATAACTTAAGCAAGCCTGACCATGTGCTTTGCCAGTGTATCTATATATGTACATACATATATACAGTGTATAACATTAATTTTCGGTTTTTTTCAACTTCAAACGTCAAAAAATGTTTTAAAACTAATAAAAACAAAAAATTTAATGATGCAGAATTAAAGCTTATTTTATTACCTTTTCATAGATTTATATATCTGAATACTGTTCTTTAAATTTAAAGAATAAACATGGTTAAAAAAACCGAATATTAATGTTCTTTTAACTAAGGAAGATTTAAAGGAATCCGTTCCACCTTTGGGTCCTAGGTCAAGATTTCGAGAGAAGCTGCTGGAGAAAATCAATAGTAAGTAATTTCTGAAGTTCTAACAAGTATTAAATATTTTTGAATGCAGACGCCGCCTAAATTTTATTATAAGGCAAAGCAGGTGCTAGGCAAAAGCTTGGGCACTTTATTGGCGGAGACCAATAGAGGGAGAACTATTTTGGGTCAAGGAAAAAAACAGATGTCTTTAAGCCTGGATATGAAGAACGATCTTATAAGCATTATCCTTGTGGAGATCTTCTCAACAGGGATAACTATCAAATATTCAGATTTTAGTCTGTTGCTGGACGAAATTTGCTGTCTTTTACCTGGCGAAGAGAAATGCAAGGTAAAATTTAATTGAAGAGCTTTTAATATTGATTTTTACTGATATTTTTAATCAATTTTATAGGATTACTACTTCATTTCCCGAGACGGTAAAAAACATCCATCGGGCAAACTGTATTCCAAATACAAAATCGAAGATCAAGGATCAAGCTAGAACTACTGAAGATTTGGAAAACCAAACCACCGAAGACTCAGAATCGGATTGTATCGCACTTTCTCTGAAGTTTTCTCTTAATAGAGATGGTGTCAATTGGGACTTAGTGCGCGAGAAATGGAAGAAGACCTTCCATCTTCGCCAACAATAGGTAAACAACTTGACAGCTGCTTGTAGTATATAAATATAAACCCATTTAATTTTTTACTTATAGATTGAAATTGGTTTTGAAATGATGTACCCAAGGAGAAGCTCGTTTTTGTTTTCGAAATGGGAGCCGTTTAAAAATAAAATCTTCAATTTCTATTACTACAACATTTCAAACGAAGCTTGTAAATGGCTGCTTAAACAAGCAAAATTATGCAAGAAAATTGGTAAATATTCTAGTTTTTATAATTTGTCTTTATTAAAATAACTATTTTAAAATAATTAAATTTAAGCGAAACTACATAAGTAATTTTTTGTTTTGTTTTTATTTTTATGATTTTTCACAAATTCCCAGGACTGATCAGCATTCTTCTGTACGCGGCTTTACCATCGATTGCGCGCTTGTTCATATATGAAAAAAATATTCAAGAATTCATATCCCTTCCAATTCATGTCTATACTTTAAATAATTGTAAGTTTTATATAGGGCTGAAGTATGTATAACATATAACGCAAGTTATATCAAAATTATCATTATATCAAAATCAATGATGCGATACATTAAAACCATAAAATAAATCTAAAACTAAAAAAAACCTCCTTTTTTTTCTGCAAGCCCAATGCCTTCTTAATTGAAGAATTATAAGTTCTTATGTAAAGAACTTTTTCGGCTGGATTATAGAATTTTAAACTCTTAATGGAGCATGATTTGTTCTTATTATAAGACCAAGTTATGTTAAAGATAATGCATTTTAATTCTTAAAATGAGTACATACTGTTCTTGAGGGTAGTATGAATAATTCTTTTCTGAAGACTAAGTCCAGTTTAAAATGAGAATTATATATTTTTGATGCAAGCTGCATATCATCTTGATATAAGCATTGGCCATAGTTCGCTTAAGAACATTTTAGACCTGTTTTAAGAAAAAATATGTCTATATTACTGAATTAATTATATTTCATTTTAGTACAACTCATACTTGATTTGAGAATTCTTAAACTTAATTAAAGTACAATTCATACTTAAATAAAGTTGTCCTTATACTTAAATAAAGAAGATTTCTTACTTAAATCAAGTAGAACACATTTTTAATTTCGCCCAAAAATGTTCTCAAATTGAGAATGCCGGTTTAAGAACAAAACGTTCTTGAAATGGAAAAATAAGCCCATTTCGTACCTGTCGAAGTTTTGTGACCATTTGGGCTTGAAAAAAGCCAAATGTGCTTGGTTTTTTCTTTGAGTGTAGTTCTGATTATAGTTTTAGGTATTGAATGGGGATTTTTACAGAGTTTTTAGATTATTACTCGCGTCGTTCTTTTACTTCGTATGTATTTCACGACTTTATTCCTGTGATCATTGGTTGGTACATCCCTTATTTAGAAAGCTGCCTTTCACCACAACACACGCCTGGAAGCATTCCCTGGGCAACAACGTGGAAATCCCCACCTTCACAAAGCTGGAGGTGTTTCTTCACAATCGATTGGTCAGCATCGGCCTAATTGAGAGTAGGAAACCAGACCATCGGGAAACTCCACTGTTAGGGGACACAGCTTCCACAGGTCTCTTGAGTCTGAATCCATCAGGTGCTCGCGCTGCCAATAGAATCACGTTCTAAGACGGTGCCCGGACTTCCTTGCCAAGGATTGTTTCGCGCGAAAGGTTATAGACGATATAGTTCTTCCCATTCTCTTAGTCAATGCAGCAGCAACCAAAACTGCTCGCAATGTGGTCAACGGCACCACACTTTGTTACATTTTCCGAATGTTTAATAAAGTTCAATCTCTCGATCTAAGTGCTTGTCCAAGACTTCCTTTTTCACCACGCCAATAATTAGTAGTGCTGTTCATCTGTGGGGGGTTCGGTTGACAAGGATGCCAGACCTATTCCCACATAACTCTCACCGATTTGCTTCATATGAAAGCGGCGTACGTACGTCCTCCAACACGTGTTGGAGCCAACTGGTATTATATAATATCACTTCCGGACGATAGAAAGGCGATAGTACACATTTTACAAAAACAAAAGGGTTCGGGATCGCGAAGAAGTAACTTCTGAGACACTTCTGCGCGATAGAAAGACGATAGTACACATTTTACAAAAACAAAATTAATGGAAAAAAACAAGCCATAAAAAGAGGTCGCGGTAATTTTCCGTTACCCCTTTTTTTCTGAAAATTTTTTGGTCTTCCTTTTGACCCACGCTAATATTTTTCGCCCGAGCGTCATTTCGTTGCGCGATTTGTCTGCGTACAGTGCGGTTTTTGTATCAATTTTGTGCGTTTTAAAAATATTGCTTTGTTTTTTCTAAATGTTATTGATTGCTTAACATATTTAAATAACCCCCTCAACAAAGGGTGCTAAATTACGTGCTTATCGTGAGGTGTACGATTATTTAAAGCTATTTACGGACAAGCTAGCTGTGGACATTACTTAGCGTGTAACTGCGGAGAAACCCAGCATCAACGATTCATTGTAAAAGGTAATGTCTTCCAGTTTATTTTTACTTTACATGAACAAAAAAAAGTTTTGTTTCTGTTTCTTTTATAAATGGTTATTAATAAATTTTTTATGTCGACGGTGTTGGACCTAAATAACATTGTTCAGCAAAATTTCCTACATGCCAGTGACCGTGTATACAAGCGGGCAATGCCTTTATAAAAAAAATAAATGCAAAATATTGAAAGTATAATAAAATATGTTTTCATTCAAGATTTTCCAATTGGGAAAGACTCTTCTAGGTATCTTCTACAAACATATGTAAAGTCACTTTTGAGTGACTTCCATATGTGACTACGGCGACACTTCCAGAAGTTACTTCGGCGATATCGCATTCGGATCGCAGAAGTGACTACCGTCGGAAAGAAATGTGCCACTTCGGCGACACTTCTAGGAGTAACTTCGGCGACACTTCCAGAAGTTACTTCGGCGATATCGCATTCGGATCGGGGAAGTGACTCCCGTCGGGAAGAAATGTAGCACTTCGGCGGCCCTTCTCGGAGTCACTTCGGCGACACTTCCAGAAGTAACGCAGAAGTGACTTCAAGAAGTGTCGCCGAAGTGGCACATTTCTTCCTGAAGGGAGTCACTTCCGCGATCCGAATGCGATATCGCGGACGATCGTTTTTATCTTCTAGAAGTCACTTAATAGTGCCTTCCGCGTTAGAAAATGCGTGCAGTACTGCACACATGTCGACTCGCATCTCGTTGTGGTAGTTGTGCGTCGAAGTCGTTCCCTTCGTACATGCAGATGCAATGTGACCAGGATTGCCACACTTGAAGCAAGTAACTCCTGACCTCTCTCGCCCAGTGAAAGGTTTGCCACTATGATGAATTGGTTTTGCGTCGTTTCTCTCTTCTCCCTTCTTCTTGCGGCATTCAAACGCTTTATGTCCCACCTTGCCGCAATAATGCCATTTGATTTGATCCTTGATCCAATCCAGAGTTGTCGCTCACTTTGCTGAACGCAAAAGCCTTTAAGAGTTGCTGCAGTTCATTCTAGTTTTTATGTTTGTAGTGAAAACGGAACTTTACAGCCTGGGATCAATTTGGGACGTGTGGGCCAACACTGAAGAAACAGCTATTTCCTCTTGGCTCATTCATAACGTCACAAGCCTGCTGCCATATACTGACAAGGACTCCTTTCCATTCGGCCGTCCGTTGAGAATGTTGAGCAATACGGCAGACGGTGGCTCGATGCCTTCATAGCGGTCAAAAAACAAACCCTTGAATTCAAGCCATGACATCCCAGCGAAGCAAATTTGAGATAGCCATTGAGAAGAGTTCCCAAGCAGCGATTTGCTAAGCGCCATGACTAGTGCTCTGTCTTTCAGTGGACGCTCGGATATGATCATATCCACGGTCTTACACCACGCTGCGGCATCGGCCCCAGGCACATCAGGATAAAACATAGGCGTTGTCACCGAAATATTTTGCGAGGCTGCAGCCGATGTTGTTCGCCAGTATTCAGCAACTTTAGGAAGTTTTGGTTTTGTGTCTCTAAAATCGCCTGCAACACACCGTCAGAATATTCTTGTGGCGATGGGGATCCCACTTCTGATGTCGAACATAGGGGTCTCTTCGCCGCTTTGCGAGTTGATTTATCCGTCATGATTTTGATTTCACTTGGGTTTTCTTACTAAGATGCGCAGCGAGTCGCAATTGCTTGTGTGGCCCGTTCGAAGGTTCTCGAAAGAATGAAATCTAAACTAAAAGGTAGAAGGAAGCGTTTGACCCCATAAAGAATTATATTCTTGATAAGGATCACTAGCCGAGTCGATCTAGCCATGTCCTTCTGTCCGTATAAACGCTGTGATCTCGGAAACTATAAAAGCTGCACTACTGGGATTAGGCATGTGGATTCTAGAGATTCCTGAGCAGCGCAAGTTTGTTTCGTCAGTTTGCCACGCCCACAAACCGCCCAAAACTGTTTTAATGCTAGAATAAAAATTTTAACTGAAATGTATTGTTCGCATCAATACCTATCGATTGACCCAAAAAAAAGTTTGCCATGCCTTACTTAACGCCCTCAAACTTCAAGAAATCGTAAATATGAACGCGGATATCTCGGAAACTATCAAAAATAGAGAATTGGTATTTCAGATTTAGATTCCGTAGCCCTGTACGCAGTGCAAGCTTGTTACGCGAAGATGCCATGTCGTGTCTTGCTTTTCGCGCAGTGTAGATGCCGGCTAGTCATCGAATGTCCCAGGGAGGGAAACAACCAACAATGTTGTCTACGCAGCAGACACAACAAAAACAAAACGGAAATTCAAACTCGGACAACGGCAATCTTCACGACGGATTTCTTTTGAACGTCTGGACTGAACCATGAGTGCATCCTTCAACATTCTTTTGGACACATCTCCCAATTCTGCCTTGTGGGTCGTGCCACCTCGCCTAAATCATCTCACCCCCCAACACGAATTTCTACTCACGTGACTTCATTTCGTTTTCACATTATAATTCAAAATTTTCTCTTAAATTCTAACATTTAATAAGCCTACCTACGGTACCGAACTTTTACATGGAACACATATATATAAATAAATAAATAAATAACAATAAATAATAATTTCAGTAGTTTTGTAAATAAATAGGTTAAATAAATAAATAATTTGAATACATAATCAAAGATATCAGTCTCAATTTTTTTTCTTTAATTTTCGTCTTGCTGATTTTCTTGCCGCTTGCAGTTTTCGGGAAAAATTTGTTATTTCTCTTTGGCAAATATAGTTTTTAAGGGCGAATAAAAACCTGTGGCCACCCGGGGATGAGTGGCCAATTTTCTTGTTGAAAATTTTGATCTCCTCCTGGTGGCTGGTCTTCGTCTCTCCTTATGTAAATCTATTTTCCTGATCAAGGCTTATCCCTCACGGAATATTCTACAAATATTTATATTTTAACTCCACTCACATCAACAAGTATTTTTTTATCACTCACTGGGTAGGAACTTGACTTCTTCTAATATAATATTTTTTTTTTCAACAGAACCGTCTGCGACCAATTATTTTTGCCCTTTAATCACCCTTGCTTGTTTCACTTTTCCAAGCCTCTCTTCGCTAAAAACCACTCAAACTTTTCGGATTTAAATCTTGGTTCATTTGGGAGTTATCCGGTCTAAGGAACCAGTTCCATGATTTGACTAAGCTGCACGACTCCCTGAACTCACGAGTCGTCGATAGTCGTGTATCGATTTTTCTTCTATCGTTATCTGTCTTAATGTAAACAGCTTTGTTAAATTCATAATTTGTGCATATTTTTGTCGTTTAGCACATAACAGCCACGCCCACTTTAACGCCCACAAACCGCCCAAATCCGTGGTGCCCACAATTTTCATGCTAGATAAAAAATTTCAGCTGAAATGTATTAGTCTTGTTAATACCTATCGATTGACGCAAAAAAAGTTTGCCACGCCCACTCTATCGCCCACAAAGCGCCTAGGCCTGTGGCGCCCACAATTTCCTTGCTAAAAAAAAATTTTAACTGAAATGTATTAGTCTCGTCAATACCTATCGATTGGCCCCAAAAAAAGTTTGCCTCACCCACTCTAACGCCCATAACGCCTAAATCTGTCTATCGTCCACATAACCATATATTTAGATCGCGGGAAGGTGTCGCATTTCAATCTTGTTTAATGCTTGCATATCTCCATTTACCTTTGGTCCCTATAGCTGAGTAACGGGTATCTGACAGTCGAGGTACTCGACTATAGCGTTCTCCCTTGTTTTCATTTATTTACTGCTTGAACACTGTAACTTTTCGGTAGCTGGAAAAACATACTGCACTACATAAAAGTCAAATAGATGGCCAGTATGCCGAGCTGGGCAATTTGCCATCCACCACTTCGTTGGGATACATCTATTGAAGACCGGAGGACTCCGAGTTCTGAGTGATCATTCATACATTGCTAAGTTCTTGAAATATGTTTGTAATGAACCCAAAATATATTGAAAATAAATTTAAGCAAATTCAAAGAGGTTTTAATATTCACTTTTATAAAAGAAGCAAAAACCTAAATTCAAAACTGGTTAATATTGATATTACAAATGTATCAATCTAATATGAAAGAATATCAGTTGAACATGAAAGCTTATCAGTTTGATATTGAAAAAATCCGCACTGGTACTGAAAACACAATTTTTTCTGACAAATTTGATAAGTTAATCGCGCATGTTAATCTGGTATGATATGTTCGAAAATATCAGTTTCATATGCTCCAAAATATCAATATCATATGGCACCATAAGGGACCAAAATTGGTATGCAAAAAAACCCCATTTATGACCAGTTTTGGTATTTTATTTTCTCTGTCTAGTCTTTTCTAGAATCATTTGCATGAAGTGGAAATAAAGAGCAGTGAAATTCTATCCTTTGGACTTAAATTCCAATCGTTCGACTCGTAAGGTGTTTTAATTTTTGTAAAGAGAAAGAAAATATGAACTAACAATAAATATTTTAAATTGTTTAAATTTCATAAGGTAATATATGTAAATCTTGTTTTATTTCGCAATATCCCGTATTATGCTTGTGATATGGTAAATACTAATGTGTATTTACTACGTTCCATCAACTATCGCTTTTTAACTTGTTATGTGGTAAACATTGTTTGTGTATTTAGTACATATAAATTATATGCAATGCGTTTCAAAGCTGTTAGACGGTTGCACAGTATTTCATATATTTATCAATCAATTACATATTAAAAATAGTTGAACCAACTAAGAAAGTCACATTCGTACGAACCTTGAATTCTGCCATACAGAATTTCGTATGCAGCCGACATTCAGTTCTGAAACGCAGTGTGCAACTGCTCGGCGGATTTTCTTCAATACTTGAGCTTTTCATATATGTCTAGATTGTTTAGTTTTAATGATAGGATTATTGAACTAACAGTAAGATCAGCTAAGTTTTGCTTTGAGATGCAGATTCATATTCGTGTAATATAATTTAGCGTTCGATTCGACATTATGAAACTAAGACTTAACTGGGTTATAAAATCATTCCAGATACCCATTTGTATATGCCAAGAGTTTAGTTTTGGTTAGTGCTACATGAGTTGGAACAATTTTATTTAGATTTTGTTGGATAGTATTTATTCTAACAAAACATTTCAGAGTCAACGCAAATAATGGAGCTAGATCTATTAATTTGATTCGAAATTTGAAGCATTATAAATTTATGTTTATACAATTTGAGTAACACGTAGACGCATATTAGGATCTTATCCTTTACTACTTAGCGATTATTATTAAATACAAATTTCTTTTATTAATTAATAATTTACGTGAAACATTCAAAAACATTTTCATCGTTTAGCGAAAATCATTTAAAAGCCTCTCATATGTTTTGAGTGAAAACGAGGGAATATGGCAAGTATTATAAGATGAGAGTTGATAGAATGAGAGTGAGTGATCTTTCTGCATTTAAATTTGAATTGACTCTTGGGGAAATGTCGCTTAATTGACCCTTTCCAAAGTGTTGGCAGCGGCTGCTATTTGAATGTGCTTCTGTTCTTGAACTTGTCTTAGTCCAAGAACGGGTTTTGTCATACTGGCCGCGGATGATGTGCTTGTTGGGGATGTTGGTGTGAATGTGGATGCGTCTGGGTGACACTGCTGATGCTGTGGTTACTACTGCTGGTGCTGGCTCCGCCTCCACCCTTTTGCCTTGTGGGTGGCGGAGGAGGTGGGGCCTGTCTCATGCGCTGCTGCAGAATTCTTGGCAATTGCGGATGCGCCTTGTGCTGGGCTGGAGGTGCGGGTGGTGGAGCCGTCCTCTGATGGTAGAGGTTCGCCTGTTGCATTTGTTGGTGCTTGCCCACAGAGGAGGCAGCCGACGAGGATCCCGAGGCCCCCGATGTGGAACTCGTCGAGGCGTGGGAGGTGGTGGAACCCGTTGCAGGTTTGGTGGGTAGTCCCCCGCTGGCCGGAGAGACCTTGGCCCTGGAGCTCACCACACTCACACTCCCACCTCCGGCAGCATCTGTAATTTTGGTCAAGGCCACTGGCGCATAGGAGGCATCGTCCTCTTCGTCTGAGCTCAAAGAATTCGCATCCGACGGCGTGCGAGACCTCGAGGGCGGCGACAGCGCATCTTGCTCCTGCAGGAACACCCGAAATCCCTGTATGGACTCGTTTAGTGCCCACAGCTGTGACAGCAGTGAAAGATCCAATTGCCTCAAGCCGTACATTTCCCTGCGCAGAATGGCCAGCTGGTTGTCAATAGTAGACGAGGTGGCTCCAGTGCTGCTCGAGCTGTTGGTGGGTGTGTGCCCCGGCCCAGCACTGTGTGTGCTGGATGCACGACTGTGCACGGATTCTCGATCGCTGAGTGACTCCTGCGTGGATGAGAGACTCCCGTGTCGCTGGCCGTGTCCATGTCCATTATAGCTGCGATTCCTGGACGCCGCCGCCGACGAGGAGGTGGAGGGTCCCAGGTACAGTTCTCCTGCGACGGCCGCCAGTGCGGAAACACTGGACGCCGGCGAGGCCGTGCGGGTATGCGGGCCTGTTGTCACAGGAACCGCCGTGGCGGCACTCAGACTTTTTGGCAGTGGCGGCAGGCCCGTCAAATGCGGCTGAGCATCGGTGCTGTTCTCCATCATTCAATAAAGCTTACTGTCTCTACGGTTTCGTCTTGCTGGTGATCCTCTAAAGAATTGAACTGGAACTACAACACGATCCTAATGCACGTTGAATTTCCAGCTCTGGCGGCACATGGGGCATTGTTTATTCAACGGTTGCAGGTTCAACCACTTGACTATGCAGTGCATATGGAAGCAATGGGAGCAGACACCCCACACCAGTGGGCAGTCGTCACCGGGCAGCGCGCACTCCGGGCAGGTGCTCTCGAAGGACATGCGACAGATACCACAGTTCTCGTCATTCGCTACCCAACGCCAAGTTGCAACTCCCGTCCATGACTTGATTCTCACTTTCATTTTGCGCACATTTGCCTTACACTGTAATTGCCTGGTTTCCTCCCGCTTTGCGTTGCATTTAGCAGGGTTCCTTTGGCCAAAGGAGTGGGTGTTTTTCGGTCGGTTCCGAATGATTTTCGCAAAATATTGCTTTTTTTCTTAAGGCTGCTGAAAATAGGTCGATAGGTTCTAGTGTCGATTGCACGATAGCTCTTGTTGGAGACTATGCTATCGACAATTAGTGTAACTTGGTGATGACCAACTCCAGCGATAGTTTTGAAGTGCAATGCGATGTTTATTTTTACCCAACAGTATGTTCAGACAGACTGCATCAGCGACCAAATTCCGCTTCAGCGACTTTTTCTTCCATAAGTACGTGTGCCTTAAAAAGGACGGGTAAAACAAATTCTCCAATTCTCTATTTTAATTGAGTGCTTTTTACGAATTTACGAATAAGAAAAGGAAAGGAGATGAATTTTTTCTACAGCCAGCTGTTTTAGGGAATTTTGTTGAATTTGAATAATGAGGAAACACTCCACACCACAGGCCTTTAAAAGAATACACACTGTGCTCGCCGGCTAGGAAAAGGGACCTAGTCGTGCTGACTCACCTAAATATGAAACGCATCCATACAATATTGCCGTGGCGTTTTCACATCATCCGCTCACTTTAATAACAAATGCAAAATTCGATTCAACCAAAAACAAATGATTTCGGAAAACAAAGAGGTGTTTGGGCAGTACTCTATGAAAATAGTTATGTCGACGTCTGAGGCTAGAACCGAAGAAATGCCATTTCATAAGGAAATGCCATCCCTTTCACCAAAGCATTCAATCGAAAATATTTGCAGGGACATTTATCCGAAAAAATTGGCCAAATTGTTTCGTGAAGAAACGATATAACCAAAGATAAGTACGCAAGGAATGTGCTATAACTTCTTTAAAGGGTCTAAGCTGATTTAATATGTTGTAATTCCACAGGCGTAACTTTTTTAAAAGTTTGTGGGCACCCAATAGTTTTTATTCCATTTTTACTTTGCTGAAACCCTCTCCTTCTTGACAAATTTTCGACCATCAATGGTAAATTAATTTGCAGCGGAAATTATTCCACTGCCTGTTTCGAAATTGTATTTAGTTTTGCGATGTCATTCATTTTATTTTTGGAAAAACCTTGTTTTGTTTTAGATTTCGGTTTGTTTATGCCGATGAGCTGTTTCTGGAACAGCGGTTTATTTTATATTTATAGTGAAATATGGAATTTCTTTTTTCGCTGAAGCGGTGTTGTAGCGACTCCTACCCGATTCTTTCTAGCTCATGTACTTCCTATAGTTTAGTACACAGATCGGCTAAGAGTTTCACTAGTCGAAAAATCGTATTCTTTGTAGTGTGACCGAAGTTTTCAAAGCTCACCCGCAATGCATGTAGCATGGTCTTACTGTCAAACTGTTTGGAGAAATTTAAAAAGGAGAAGTCTTCTGGTACACAAAGAAATTTAAATAAAAATAAATGGAATGTTCAACGAATGTTTTTATTTATGTAAATTAGTAGTTTAAAGCTTCCTTCTCGTCCCACGGATGCTTCGCCATCTTTCCCGTTCCACCGCAGTACAGCTACGAGTCCCAATAGGCATATTGGACCTTGAGGAAGTGGAAGATCAGGGTTGATCCGCTGATTCTGCAGGAAGTCGCCCAGCATCCAACTGTTCCTTTGCCGGCGCCCTATTTTCCTCCTCCCTATAGAAGCTAGCGGGTCCTTCAGCTCCGCTTTAGCTGCCAAGTAGCTGGTGGTGTCCGGAGTCCTATTACTGGTGGTTTTGCTAAAAAGATACTTCTATTAGTACAACTCAACCAAATTCTTTTGGCCAGATCTTACTAACTTTGCGAGGACGCGCCCTGCAGGATGTCCATGTAGAGATCGAAGTCCCACTCGGCATGTTCCTTCCCACTGGGATTCTCTAGTGAATCTCCTCCAGCACTTCAACTATTCTGCGAATTTGCCCCTTTTGTGGAATTGCTTCCTTTCGGTGAAATCCCACAATTAAGGGCATAAGCTTGATTTGGCGTCCTATTTTATCTGCATTGACCTCCGGCAGCCGATTTTAGGTTTTCCTTCCATTTTTAATTTTTAGTTTCCACATCGCCTTTGCACGAACACCGCCAAAGATTAAATTTCTTATTCTTTGGGCCGCGACTAACGGCGTTCACCAAAAATTTAATCGCGAAATCTGGTATTTTTCTGGTATTTCTTTAGCTCATCCGAGTACCGGGCTAAGTGAGCGAGAGGCAAATACGCGGCTAACGCTTTTCGCCGGTTCTGTTTTTCAGCGCGGTACTCGTATGAGCTAAGGAAATACCAGAAAAATACCAGATTTCACGAGTGAATTTCGATGAACGCCGTTAGCCGCGGCCCAAAGAATAAGAAATTTAATCTTTGTCGGTGTTCGTGCAAAAACGGCGTGAAAACTTAAAATTGAAAATGGAAGGAAAGCCCAAAAAAAGACTGCAGCAGGTCTGTGCCTATGGAAAAGGTCGCTTTGTCCAAGATATTGCATATTGTTGCACCGACAGGATGCAATAACACAGCAGGGCAAATCCCCAGAATAGTTGAAGTGGAGGAGGAGATCCACTAGAGAATTTCAGTGGAAAAGAACATGCCGAACCTCGCACCCCACATGTTCATCTTGCCGGGCGTATCCTTGCAAAGAAAGTAAGTTCTGGCCAAATGAATTTGGTTACGCTGTACTAATAGAAGTATCTTTTTAGCAGAACCACCAGAACGATCTTCGAAGAGCTCTCCAGGGGAACCACAGGACTCCACCTCCACCAGCTATTTGGCAGCTAAAGCGAACATGGAGGACGCGCTGGCTTCTAAAGGGTGGTGGAAAAAAGGGCGCCCGCTAAGGGACAGCTGGATGAGCCATAGCCAAGATGCTGGGCGACTTCCTGCAGCATTAGGCGGAACACCCTACCAAGTTCCAACATGCCTATTGGGATTTCGAGCTGCACTACAGATGACACGGGAAAGATGACGAAGCTTCAGTGGGACGGGAAGGAACCCTGCAGTTCCAAAATTGAGTTAAGCGCCCAATTATCACGAAGCCGACTGCGACGTCGGCAGAGCAGCCAGCGACGCCGGCAGAGCTGAGCGCAACGGCGGCAAAGAGACGCGCTCTCAGTCGGGGTCCGCAAAGAGAACGCACAAAAAGTACTTTTGGGCTCTCTCTCTCTCGCCATGTCTCAGCTGGAGAAATGCGTGTGAGGGCAAGGAGGCCCAACAATTAAAATAGCTAGACTTTTGTGCACCCTTGCCTTTTGAATAACGCGACAACCAATTAAAATAATATGTTTGGGTTTTAAATTATTTGTATTTCTTAAAAAAATGTATATGTTTATTAATATTATTTATTATTATGGGAAGTCTTAAAAATATGTTTTTATATAATGATTTGCATAGTCTTTTTCACTTGCGTTTACTTATGGGAAGGATTTAGAATTGCCCGCAATTAACGTAGTTACATAAAATAAGCCAGTGGCTTAAAAGTGATACCTATACGATCCCAGATAAGTCTGTCGCAGACCAATATTTATTTAAACAGTGAGAGTAAAAACAAGTTATTGTATATTAAAAAAAATGGAAAATACAAGATTCTCAAAAAACACGTGGCGGAAAAAAATAGCTGTGAAAAATATTAATTTTTGACGTGAAAAAAAACAATGCTTCATTTGTTAAACAAAAATGAATGAATCAGAATGCAGAATGAATAAATAAACAAATGAATGAATCTGTGAAAAATTTAAAAATCTTATTGAGTGCAAAGTTGCTGGGGACGAAAAATAAGAGATGTTTGTTTTTATAACTTATGTTTGTTTGTATGAATAACTTTAAAGCACAATTTTTATTTTTGTGTAAGTAAACAAACATGACTATTTAAATAAAAATCTATAACATCTCTAATTTTCCGTCCCTGGAAAAGTGGTATTTTTTTCCGCATCTGCAAAATAAATAAATGTTTTAATAAATAATTAAAAATACATAAATAATTTTTTACAACAAAATAAAATAAATCATGTGACCGAAAACAAAAGTTTGCAAATTTCTTCTCGATATTTTTTAAATTTTCTTATATTTTTAGACAAGGCTGATGGTAAATCTATAAAAAAAATGGAAGGCTAAGTCGTTCCATCTTAAGCATGTTATCCGAGGAACTTGTTCTGTCCCACTACTTGGAGGGGGCAAAACAAGAAGAAGCTCAGTCTACCCAAAGTTCGTCCGCGCCTTATTAAGTAAGTTTTTATTGAGGCTGAAAGGACTTATGGTTGGTAAGTTTAATTTTTAAAAGACTTCTGGGATTTTTACATTGAATGCCAAAGATAACATTTAATTTATTATAAATAAATCTTACAAATAACGATTACTTTCGGTCACCTCCCGAAAAGTCGCTGCCGAAGGCAATGCGGTGCGTTAAAAACTTGAGTTGTACCAAAAAAAGGCAACGCTGGCACCAGATGCTGAGGAGGAGGTGCCAGCGACCACGATAACACCGGGAACCCCCGAGCTCAAATTTTAAAATAAATAAAAAAAATTACAACTGAAATTTTATTTGCTGCTAAGCGCTCAACGTGTGCTGAATGTGCGCTTTTTCGCTGCTTGAATGAGCGCTCAACTTGTGCTTTCTCCGCTGCTTAATCGAGCGCTCAACGTGTGCTGATTGTGTGCTTTTTCCGCTGCTTAATCGAGCGCTCAACATGTGTTTTTTTTGCTGCTCAAAAAAGCGCTCAAAAGGGTGCTCAAAAAAGCGCTCAATGCGTGCTAGTTTTTGTGCACTGATGAACCCTAGGACATGCCTATGCTAATTTAAGCACTCAATTCCATACAAATTGTGCGCTTATTGAGCGCTCAGTGATGAACTTTTTGCAGTGATTGAGTGCTCAATAAGCGCTGAATGGTACTGCAGGGAAGCTTTAAACTACTAGTTTACATAAATAAAAACATTCGTTGAACATCCATTTATTTTTATTTTTATTTCGTTGTGCACCATGCTACATTGCGGGTGAACATTGAAAACTTCGGTCACACTATAAAGAATACGATTTTTCGACTAGTGAACCTCCTAGCCAATCTGCGAACTAGGCTTAATGCAGAAAACCCTCTGTCTGACCAGACTATTACCAAATGGTATAGATCTAGAATCGAGCATTGTGAGTTCCACGGTTAAACTGCGGGTTTCCCGTCATTAAGCCTAGTATTTACATTGAAGAAATCCGCGAGCTAACCATAGGTGTCAAATACCCGGCTAACGCTTTTCATCGGGTGTGTTTTTCAGCGTGGTACTCAGATGAGCTAAGGAAATACCAGAAAAAATACCGGAATTGGCGAGTGAATTTCGAAAAACGCCGTTAGTCGCGGCCCAAAGAATAAGAAATTTAACCTTTGGAGGTGTTCGTGCAAAAGCAGTGCAGAAACTAAAAATTAAAAATGGAAGGAAACCCCAAAAACGCATGCAGGCGGTCAGTGCAGATGAAAAAGGACGCCTTATCCAAGCTGTTGCCCATTATTGTGGGACTCCACCGACAGGAAGCAATACCACAAATGGGCAAATCCGCTGAATAGTTGAAGTGCTGAAGGAGATCCAGTAGAAATTGGGGATAAACTTCTGTTTAGCTCCAACGCCCGATTTTGTTCAAACTTTCCATATCGACGTGTTTTTGGGTCTTGATTACGGGAAAAATAGTCAAAATTGGCGCAAATAACGGGATCTTGGAAAATAAAAACCTTAAATTTTTTTGAATTTTTAATGTTTTGTCCAAAAATATAAGGAAATCAAAGAATGTTTAATACAAAAACAGAAGATACTTACAAAACGGATCTTTTTTATTATAATCACTTTTTCCGAAATCATCATGGCTTTTGAATAAAACCAAAAAAAATATTTTTAATAGGAGGTGAACTTTTAAGAACATTGCAATATCCCCCCTTAAAAAATGGCGTCAGGTAGTTTCGATTAATCAACAGACTTTTTTCACGATATATCTTGTAGACACATACATACTGAAGATAGTACTAAGACCCGAGGAAGTCAAGCGCCGCAAACAAAAATTTTCGGGACGATTTTTGTTAAAAATTTTTTTTTTTCGGCGGCATTAGAAGTGCTTTTTATATCATTTTTGTTTTCTTACCTTAATTTTTAACTACGTCAACTGAAATGCTCTATACAACATTTATATTTTTTCTTATACTTTTAATTTAGACATTATTATTTTAATTTCGTGTTCTTAAAAATTTAAATGCCGTTCTCGTGTTTTGGTCGTACCATCACTAAAACATCGAGTGACATCGATATCAATATCGACACACCGATATAACAACAAGCTTTCGTGCGATATATCTGGCCAAATGGCGCAAGTGTGCTCCAACGGTTTATTATTTTCAAAACTCGTAAAAATGTAATCTTATTTAGCGTTTTTAACGAAAACTATTAAATTTACAGAAAAAATGTGAAAACTTAAATTACTCATTTCTTTAATAGCTTTTATTTTTCCCTGGCAATCTTTGATTAAGTTAATATATCCGAAGATATCTACGAAAAAACAGTATTTACCGTTATTTTCCATGGTTCCGTTATTTGCGCCAACTTTGACTATTTTTCCCGTAATCAGGACACCAAATAAGGTGGATATTGAAAGTTTGGACGAAGTCGGGCGTTGGAGCGAAACGGAAGTTCACCCAGAATGGGAAGGAACATGTCGAGTGGGACTCGTTCCCTTCACCGACATCTTGCTTGGTCGTGTCCTCGCATAGATGGTAAGTTCTGGTCAAAATAATTTGGGAACGTTGTCTTAATTAAGAATATTTTTAGCAGAACCATCAGTAATACGATCTCCGACGACCTCTCCATTAGGACTCCGGACACAACCACCACCAGCTAATTGGCAGCTTAAGCGAAGCTGGAGGACGCGCTGGGCTCTATAGGGAGGAGGAAAAAAGGGCGCCCGCTAAGTGAAAGTTGGAGGAGCAATTGCCAGGATGCTGGACGACCAATCCGGCTCGCTCTTCCTCAAGGTCAAATTTGCTTATTGGAATTCGGAGCTGGAATGCAGATGGCGCGGAAAAGATGGCGAAGGAACCGTGGGACGAGAAGGAAGCTTTAAACTACTTATTTACATAAATAATAACATTCGTTGAACATTCCATTTATTTTTATTTTTGTTTTTTTGTGGACCAACAGACTCCTCTTTTTATACCCTTGCAGAGGGTATTATGATTTCAGTCAGAAGTTTGCAACGCAGTGAAGTGACGTTACCAACCCCATAAAGTATATATATTCTAGATCAGCATCACTAGACGAGTCGATCTAGCCATGTCCGTCTGTGCGTCAGTTTCTACGCAAACTAGTCTCGAAGTTTTAAAGCTATCGGGCTGAAACTTTCCCAAAAGTTTTCTTTCTTTTGCATGTATTATATAAGTTGAACCCAGCCTGATCGGACAACTATATCATTTAAAAAATTATTTCTTTGGTGTTTTTTAACATATAACCTCCTACTCTTGGAAATAACATTTTTTCATTAATTCTGAATTTTAAATTTAATTGTTGTGGGAGTCAGTATTTTCGGCTAAGTTGGCATTCCTAGTTAAGACATTACCCATGGTAATTAACATAAATAGCCCAGATGCAACCCTTCAGTAGCAAGGATCCGATCCTCGCTAGAATACCAAAAATACCAGTTTTATGGATTTTGGGGATTTTGTGCATCCTACATCCACTCTAGACGCCACGATTTCCTCCTCTTTGTCGCAAGCTTCTCCCGAGATCGGTTCGTTCTCTGCAAAAAGTGCTATAATTTTCAAACCCGTCCGCATCCACACATCCGCGTGTGAAATTCTAGGAATTTTGGTTGAGCAGTACGACCTGTTATCACTCCCAATATTGGTGGTAAGATTATTCGACGATATATTGGAAAAATCTAATTGTAATTCCTGGAAAACAGCAGTGACCAGAGACACGTGCAAATTCTCGGAATTGACGGAAGTTTTACAGCCCTCCCTCTGCGCACAGCAAGGAGCAGGTGCCGCGTGCAGCGATTCATCAGCGGAACCATACATTTCTTCAGCGCCAGGCCATAATCGCCATTTGGGATTCTTATACCGCACACCGCGTGAATGGAATCTGTCTTCTTTGCCACACCTGGATTAATTTCATCATCGGCATACCATAAGCGGCTTCAAAAATCGCCGCAGTCAACCCGCGTGAGGTTTTGACCTTGCCAAGCCCGCACCACGATCTACAAGTCAGATCAAGTTGCAGTTCGGGCGAAAAACGCACCGGCGCCGATTCGGCGTAATTCGGACAAGACATCGGAGGCGGACGCCGCATCCCAATTGGAATTTCAGTTCCAATTCTGCTTCCAGTTAATTTTGGCCGGGACTGCCAACTCGTTTTTGTATCGCTAAAGCGATTGTAGTTTAATTTTCTTATTCTAAATATTTGTACGACAAGTTTCTAATTTAATTTACGATTCCTATTTAGCTTTTATACTTGCGTTTGTGCTTACGACATAGTATGACATATATACACCTAAATTAAATTATCCTACAGCGCACATCGATCGTCATCAGGCCTGCTGACTTCGTTGGAGAGTTCGTAAGTACGGCATAGCCGTAAATCATTTACATTCCTACATATATATTCATTCTTGTCTGAGCCCGCACACTTTTGGTACCAATATATACATGTAATTTTTCCACATTCGCGTATTGATATAAATATTAAATAAGAATCGTTTGCACTTATATAATTTAACGTAATACGCCTAAGTGATTTCCTGTAATTTTTGAATAAGCTTGCCGCATATCGATAAAATATGTAATCAGTTTCGTAATAATTTAACGTAAACAAAATATCCATTTCTTTTCCTATTTGATAATCTTGTACTGACACTCGATCATATAGAGAGTCTTTTGGCGTAAAGAACGCTTAGTTCTAAGGCTTTAGTGTTAGGATTTGTAGTATTAAGAACCATGAACCATATTATCGTATTTGCCGTATTAAATGAAATTTAAGATGAATTAGTTTGTGATCTTTTGAGGGCACCTTAGAGGATGTAGCGCAGCGGTTGTTTTAAGGGTGGAGTCTAATGTGACTTCACAGGTAGGGTGGGTATAGAAGGTGGCCAATAACATCTGGGCCTCCGTCTTCGATAGGTACAGTCTCTCGTCCGAATCTTAGCCGATGGGTTAAAAATCCTTATCGTTACCGTCTCTCTGTCTACTATTGTTAGTTCTGTGACACTCTTGTTTCATCTTAAGACAAACCCACACCCATCTCCCTGAGCAGGCCGGTCAAAGCGTAGACAGAGGTGTTAGGGTGGACAACGCTCAGAGAGTGTGTTCGTTACAGAATTAAATGGCGCCCAACAATGGAGCAAGCCCGATGCCTGATCAGGCATCTGTCGTTTGACAGCCGAGCTTCCCGAAAATATTTCAATCCATCCATTTTTGTAAAATTGTAGTTTCAGTTAGTATTTCATTTTTGACTTGGATTTGATGGTACTCTGGATAGATTCGGAGCCATACCAGCAGAAATGTTATACTTTTGTTACATGTTTTTTCTATCAGTTCGGTCATACTCGGACATTATAGTTAAAAACATTCCATTTTGATTATTTGATACTTCGGAATTTTAGTTCTGATTTAAGGTCGGTTCTTTACCAAGTTTTCAGTTTTCAAACCACATCTTCTATCCAATCAAAATCGAGATTTGTTCTAGCTGGAAAAATTCGGCTAGTCCCTCTTTTGATTGGTTAGACCTCAAAATACTATTTTTATATAATTGATTCCGCAAACATTTTCAGTTAATAATTAGTACCTATCGAACGAAAATCAACCTGCTGCTACATTACTCCTCAGGATAAGCCCCTCTTATTTTTATGACACTACCGCATTCCGTATTTCTCAAGGATCTTTCTCGTCTTGTCATTGTTGAATGATTATCGTATACTTCTATCGCATATCGTACATTTCTATCGCATATCGTATATCTTCCATTTCTCTTTTTAAGTTTTTGAGTTTAGTTAGTTGTTAGTTAGGTTTGAAATCGTTTAAAAATGTCGGTTAGGCACAGCAACGAGAACCTAGTTTCTCTAGGTGATGATGACTCAGTGACGTGCACGCTCTGCAATGGAGTAGTTTTCGAATTGGATTTAATGGAAACTGCTTGTAAACATTGCTTTCATAAGGCTTGTCTACAAAACTGGCTGCAGGATAACAACACTTGCCCAACATGCTCTCAACCATGTTCTCAGTCCCAGACGGTATCTAATCAGAATTCCGGTATGCAAAATCGAATGATGACCAGATCTAGGTCTCGTAACGCCGATAATCAGAACAATATTATCGTCTCTCAGAATGGCAACTCGAATCCCCATCAAGACAATAGGCAAACCAATGACTCAGATGTAAGCGAAGACCCAGATCAGCAAAGTCTTGCGAATCAAATGCGAGCATTTCAAAAAAGCATGTTAGACAACCAGAAAACATTTCAAGTAACCACGACAGATACAATCACAGAAAAAATGACTCAGATGTTTAGCCAATTGAATAGGTCCACCTTTGTGGATAACAATACGCAGCACGAATTCCGTAACAATTCAGGACAAGTCGGTTTCCAGAACAATCAGGGTCAAAACAGTCAGCGAGTTGGGAACTCTCCGGATGTGCGAAGCAATCGCAGCGATCTTTCCTTGGATCGTCCTGACAGAATTTCAAATGTGATTTCCAACTGGCGAATCAAATTCAGTGGGTCAGCTGACGACATCGCAGTTGAGGATTTTATATACCGAGTAAACTGTCTCACTACACAAAGCCTAAACGGAAATTTCGATTTGTTGTCGCAGTTTGCAAATTTGCTATTTGCAGGTCCTGCTCTATCTTTTTACTGGCATGTTCATAGGTCGGTAGATGACATGAACTGGCTTGTATTATGCAGACGCTTAAAGGAGAGATACTCAGATCAGAGATCAGACCGTGAAATAAAAAGTGCCACACGTCGTCGTAAGCAGGGTTCAAACGAAAGTTTTGACGACTTTCTTGACGCAATGCTTATCATAGCTAATTCCCTCCGAGAGCCCATGCATGATAGAGAGTTAGCCAGCGAAGTGCGCCACAATCTTAAGCCAGACTTGAAACTTGAGTTACTGCATGTTGACACCCCTTCTTTGGAAGCTTTGCGTAAGGCGTGTCACCGCCACGAAGAATTTTATCGCGGCACTAAATTTTAAAGCGTTGACTTCTCCTGACTCCTTTTTCAGTTTTTATTATTAGTCACAGGGACTAAAAATCAAAACTGTGGTTGTGGGAGTCAGTATTTTCGGCTAAGTTGGCATTCCTAGTTAAGACATTACCCATGGTAATTAACATAAATAGCCCAGATGCAACCCTTCAGTAGCAAGGATCCGATCCTCGCTAGAATACCAAAAATACCAGTTTTATGGATTTTGGGGATTTTGTGCATCCTACATCCACTCTAGACGCCACGATTTCCTCCTCTTTGTCGCAAGCTTCTCCCGAGATCGGTTCGTTCTCTGCAAAAAGTGCTATAATTTTCAAACCCGTCCGCATCCACACATCCGCGTGTGAAATTCTAGGAATTTTGGTTGAGCAGTACGACCTGTTATCACTCCCAATATTGGTGGTAAGATTATTCGACGATATATTGGAAAAATCTAATTGTAATTCCTGGAAAACAGCAGTGACCAGAGACACGTGCAAATTCTCGGAATTGACGGAAGTTTTACAGCCCTCCCTCTGCGCACAGCAAGGAGCAGGTGCCGCGTGCAGCGATTCATCAGCGGAACCATACATTTCTTCAGCGCCAGGCCATAATCGCCATTTGGGATTCTTATACCGCACACCGCGTGAATGGAATCTGTCTTCTTTGCCACACCTGGATTAATTTCATCATCGGCATACCATAAGCGGCTTCAAAAATCGCCGCAGTCAACCCGCGTGAGGTTTTGACCTTGCCAAGCCCGCACCACGATCTACAAGTCAGGTCAAGTTGCAGTTCGGGCGAAAAACGCACCGGCGCCGATTCGGCGTAATTCGGACAAGACATCGGAGGCGGACGCCGCATCCCAATTGGAATTTCAGTTCCAATTCTGCTTCCAGTTAATTTTGGCCGGGACTGCCAACTCGTTTTTGTATCGCTAAAGCGATTGTAGTTTAATTTTCTTATTCTAAATATTTGTACGACAAGTTTCTAATTTAATTTACGATTCCTATTTAGCTTTTATACTTGCGTGTGTGCTTACGACATAGTATGACATATATACACCTAAATTAAATTATCCTACAGCGCACATCGATCGTCATCAGGCCTGCTGACTTCGTTGGAGAGTTCGTAAGTACGGCATAGCCGTAAATCATTTACATTCCTACATATATATTCATTCTTGTCTGAGCCCGCACACTTTTGGTACCAATATATACATGTAATTTTTCCACATTCGCGTATTGATATAAATATTAAATAAGAATCGTTTGCACTTATATAATTTAACGTAATACGCCTAAGTGATTTCCTGTAATTTTTGAATAAGCTTGCCGCATATCGATAAAATATGTAATCAGTTTCGTAATAATTTAACGTAAACAAAATATCCATTTCTTTTCCTATTTGATAATCTTGTACTGACACTCGATCATATAGAGAGTCTTTTGGCGTAAAGAACGCTTAGTTCTAAGGCTTTAGTGTTAGGATTTGTAGTATTAAGAACCATGAACCATATTATCGTATTTGCCGTATTAAATGAAATTTAAGATGAATTAGTTTGTGATCTTTTGAGGGCACCTTAGAGGATGTAGCGCAGCGGTTGTTTTAAGGGTGGAGTCTAATGTGACTTCACAGGTAGGGTGGGTATAGAAGGTGGCCAATAACATCTGGGCCTCCGTCTTCGATAGGTACAGTCTCTCGTCCGAATCTTAGCCGATGGGTTAAAAATCCTTATCGTTACCGTCTCTCTGTCTACTATTGTTAGTTCTGTGACACTCTTGTTTCATCTTAAGACAAACCCACACCCATCTCCCTGAGCAGGCCGGTCAAAGCGTAGACAGAGGTGTTAGGGTGGACAACGCTCAGAGAGTGTGTTCGTTACAGAATTAAATGGCGCCCAACAATGGAGCAAGCCCGATGCCTGATCAGGCATCTGTCGTTTGACAGCCGAGCTTCCCGAAAATATTTCAATCCATCCATTTTTGTAAAATTGTAGTTTCAGTTAGTATTTCATTTTTGACTTGGATTTGATGGTACTCTGGATAGATTCGGAGCCATACCAGCAGAAATGTTATACTTTTGTTACATGTTTTTTCTATCAGTTCGGTCATACTCGGACATTATAGTTAAAAACATTCCATTTTGATTATTTGATACTTCGGAATTTTAGTTCTGATTTAAGGTCGGTTCTTTACCAAGTTTTCAGTTTTCAAACCACATCTTCTATCCAATCAAAATCGAGATTTGTTCTAGCTGGAAAAATTCGGCTAGTCCCTCTTTTGATTGGTTAGACCTCAAAATACTATTTTTATATAATTGATTCCGCAAACATTTTCAGTTAATAATTAGTACCTATCGAACGAAAATCAACCTGCTGCTACATTACTCCTCAGGATAAGCCCCTCTTATTTTTATGACACTACCGCATTCCGTATTTCTCAAGGATCTTTCTCGTCTTGTCATTGTTGAATGATTATCGTATACTTCTATCGCATATCGTACATTTCTATCGCATATCGTATATCTTCCATTTCTCTTTTTAAGTTTTTGAGTTTAGTTAGTTGTTAGTTAGGTTTGAAATCGTTTAAAAATGTCGGTTAGGCACAGCAACGAGAACCTAGTTTCTCTAGGTGATGATGACTCAGTGACGTGCACGCTCTGCAATGGAGTAGTTTTCGAATTGGATTTAATGGAAACTGCTTGTAAACATTGCTTTCATAAGGCTTGTCTACAAAACTGGCTGCAGGATAACAACACTTGCCCAACATGCTCTCAACCATGTTCTCAGTCCCAGACGGTATCTAATCAGAATTCCGGTATGCAAAATCGAATGATGACCAGATCTAGGTCTCGTAACGCCGATAATCAGAACAATATTATCGTCTCTCAGAATGGCAACTCGAATCCCCATCAAGACAATAGGCAAACCAATGACTCAGATGTAAGCGAAGACCCAGATCAGCAAAGTCTTGCGAATCAAATGCGAGCATTTCAAAAAAGCATGTTAGACAACCAGAAAACATTTCAAGTAACCACGACAGAAAAAATGACTCAGATGTTTAGCCAATTGAATAGGTCCACCTTTGTGGATAACAATACGCAGCACGAATTCCGTAACAATTCAGGACAAGTCGGTTTCCAGAACAATCAGGGTCAAAACAGTCAGCGAGTTGGGAACTCTCCGGATGTGCGAAGCAATCGCAGCGATCTTTCCTTGGATCGTCCTGACAGAATTTCAAATGTGATTTCCAACTGGCGAATCAAATTCAGTGGGTCAGCTGACGACATCGCAGTTGAGGATTTTATATACCGAGTAAACTGTCTCACTACACAAAGCCTAAACGGAAATTTCGATTTGTTGTCGCAGTTTGCAAATTTGCTATTTGCAGGTCCTGCTCTATCTTTTTACTGGCATGTTCATAGGTCGGTAGATGACATGAACTGGCTTGTATTATGCAGACGCTTAAAGGAGAGATACTCAGATCAGAGATCAGACCGTGAAATAAAAAGTGCCACACGTCGTCGTAAGCAGGGTTCAAACGAAAGTTTTGACGACTTTCTTGACGCAATGCTTATCATAGCTAATTCCCTCCGAGAGCCCATGCATGATAGAGAGTTAGCCAGCGAAGTGCGCCACAATCTTAAGCCAGACTTGAAACTTGAGTTACTGCATGTTGACACCCCTTCTTTGGAAGCTTTGCGTAAGGCGTGTCACCGCCACGAAGAATTTTATCGCGGCACTAAATTTTAAAGCGTTGACTTCTCCTGACTCCTTTTTCAGTTTTTATTATTAGTCACAGGGACTAAAAATCAAAACTGTGGTTGTGGGAGTCAGTATTTTCGGCTAAGTTGGCATTCCTAGTTAAGACATTACCCATGGTAATTAACATAAATAGCCCAGATGCAACCCTTCAGTAGCAAGGATCCGATCCTCGCTAGAATACCAAAAATACCAGTTTTATGGATTTTGGGGATTTTGTGCATCCTACATCCACTCTAGACGCCACGATTTCCTCCTCTTTGTCGCAAGCTTCTCCCGAGATCGGTTCGTTCTCTGCAAAAAGTGCTATAATTTTCAAACCCGTCCGCATCCACACATCCGCGTGTGAAATTCTAGGAATTTTGGTTGAGCAGTACGACCTGTTATCACTCCCAATATTGGTGGTAAGATTATTCGACGATATATTGGAAAAATCTAATTGTAATTCCTGGAAAACAGCAGTGACCAGAGACACGTGCAAATTCTCGGAATTGACGGAAGTTTTACAGCCCTCCCTCTGCGCACAGCAAGGAGCAGGTGCCGCGTGCAGCGATTCATCAGCGGAACCATACATTTCTTCAGCGCCAGGCCATAATCGCCATTTGGGATTCTTATACCGCACACCGCGTGAAAGGAATCTGTCTTCTTTGCCACACCTGGATTAATTTCATCATCGGCATACCATAAGCGGCTTCAAAAATCGCCGCAGTCAACCCGCGTGAGGTTTTGACCTTGCCAAGCCCGCACCACGATCTACAAGTCAGGTCAAGTTGCAGTTCGGGCGAAAAACGCACCGGCGCCGATTCGGCGTAATTCGGACAAGACATCGGAGGCGGACGCCGCATCCCAATTGGAATTTCAGTTCCAATTCTGCTTCCAGTTAATTTTGGCCGGGACTGCCAACTCGTTTTTGTATCGCTAAAGCGATTGTAGTTTAATTTTCTTATTCTAAATATTTGTACGACAAGTTTCTAATTTAATTTACGATTCCTATTTAGCTTTTATACTTGCGTGTGTGCTTACGACATAGTATGACATATATACACCTAAATTAAATTATCCTACAGCGCACATCGATCGTCATCAGGCCTGCTGACTTCGTTGGAGAGTTCGTAAGTACGGCATAGCCGTAAATCATTTACATTCCTACATATATATTCATTCTTGTCTGAGCCCGCACACTTTTGGTACCAATATATACATGTAATTTTTCCACATTCGCGTATTGATATAAATATTAAATAAGAATCGTTTGCACTTATATAATTTAACGTAATACGCCTAAGTGATTTCCTGTAATTTTTGAATAAGCTTGCCGCATATCGATAAAATATGTAATCAGTTTCGTAATAATTTAACGTAAACAAAATATCCATTTCTTTTCCTATTTGATAATCTTGTACTGACACTCGATCATATAGAGAGTCTTTTGGCGTAAAGAACGCTTAGTTCTAAGGCTTTAGTGTTAGGATTTGTAGTATTAAGAACCATGAACCATATTATCGTATTTGCCGTATTAAATGAAATTTAAGATGAATTAGTTTGTGATCTTTTGAGGGCACCTTAGAGGATGTAGCGCAGCGGTTGTTTTAAGGGTGGAGTCTAATGTGACTTCACAGGTAGGGTGGGTATAGAAGGTGGCCAATAACATCTGGGCCTCCGTCTTCGATAGGTACAGTCTCTCGTCCGAATCTTAGCCGATGGGTTAAAAATCCTTATCGTTACCGTCTCTCTGTCTACTATTGTTAGTTCTGTGACACTCTTGTTTCATCTTAAGACAAACCCACACCCATCTCCCTGAGCAGGCCGGTCAAAGCGTAGACAGAGGTGTTAGGGTGGACAACGCTCAGAGAGTGTGTTCGTTACAGAATTAAATGGCGCCCAACAATGGAGCAAGCCCGATGCCTGATCAGGCATCTGTCGTTTGACAGCCGAGCTTCCCGAAAATATTTCAATCCATCCATTTTTGTAAAATTGTAGTTTCAGTTAGTATTTCATTTTTGACTTGGATTTGATGGTACTCTGGATAGATTCGGAGCCATACCAGCAGAAATGTTATACTTTTGTTACATGTTTTTTCTATCAGTTCGGTCATACTCGGACATTATAGTTAAAAACATTCCATTTTGATTATTTGATACTTCGGAATTTTAGTTCTGATTTAAGGTCGGTTCTTTACCAAGTTTTCAGTTTTCAAACCACATCTTCTATCCAATCAAAATCGAGATTTGTTCTAGCTGGAAAAATTCGGCTAGTCCCTCTTTTTATTGGTTAGACCTCAAAATACTATTTTTATATAATTGATTCCGCAAACATTTTCAGTTAATAATTAGTACCTATCGAACGAAAATCAACCTGCTGCTACATTACTCCTCAGGATAAGCCCCTCTTATTTTTATGACACTACCGCATTCCGTATTTCTCAAGGATCTTTCTCGTCTTGTCATTGTTTATTTTTATGACACTACCGCATTCCGTATTTCTCAAGGATCTTTCTCGTCTTGTCATTGTTGAATGATTATCGTATACTTCTATCGCATATCGTACATTTCTATCGCATATCGTATATCTTCCATTTCTCTTTTTAAGTTTTTGAGTTTAGTTAGTTGTTAGTTAGGTTTGAAATCGTTTAAAAATGTCGGTTAGGCACAGCAACGAGAACCTAGTTTCTCTAGGTGATGATGACTCAGTAACGTGCACGCTCTGCAATGGAGTAGTTTTCGAATTGGATTTAATGGAAACTGCTTGTAAACATTGCTTTCATAAGGCTTGTCTACAAAACTGGCTGCAGGATAACAACACTTGCCCAACATGCTCTCAACCATGTTCTCAGTCCCAGACGGTATCTAATCAGAATTCCGGTATGCAAAATCGAATGATGACCAGATCTAGGTCTCGTAACGCCGATAATCAGAACAATATTATCGTCTCTCAGAATGGCAACTCGAATCCCCATCAAGACAATAGGCAAACCAATGACTCAGATGTAAGCGAAGACCCAGATCAGCAAAGTCTTGCGAATCAAATGCGAGCATTTCAAAAAAGCATGTTAGACAACCAGAAAACATTTCAAGTAACCACGACAGATACAATCACAGAAAAAATGACTCAGATGTTTAGCCAATTGAATAGGTCCACCTTTGTGGATAACAATACGCAGCACGAATTCCGTAACAATTCAGGACAAGTCGGTTTCCAGAACAATCAGGGTCAAAACAGTCAGCGAGTTGGGAACTCTCCGGATGTGCGAAGCAATCGCAGCGATCTTTCTTTGGATCGTCCTGACAGAATTTCAAATGTGATTTCCAACTGGCGAATCAAATTCAGTGGGTCAGCTGACGACATCGCAGTTGAGGATTTTATATACCGAGTAAACTGTCTCACTACACAAAGCCTAAACGGAAATTTTGATTTGTTGTCGCAGTTTGCAAATTTGCTATTTGCAGGTCCTGCTCTATCTTTTTACTGGCGTGTTCATAGGTCGGTAGATGACATGAACTGGCTTGTATTATGCAGACGCTTAAAGGAGAGATACTCAGATCAGAGATCAGACCGTGAAATAAAAAGTGCCACACGTCGTCGTAAGCAGGGTTCAAACGAAAGTTTTGACGACTTTCTTGACGCAATGCTTATCATAGCTAATTCCCTCCGAGAGCCCATGCATGATAGAGAGTTAGCCAGCGAAGTGCGCCACAATCTTAAGCCAGACTTGAAACTTGAGTTACTGCATGTTGACACCCCTTCTTTGGAAGCTTTGCGTAAGGCGTGTCACCGCCACGAAGAATTTTATCGCGGCACTAAATTTTAAAGCGTTGACTTCTCCTGACTCCTTTTTCAGTTTTTATTATTAGTCACAGGGACTAAAAATCAAAACTGTGGTTGTGGGAGTCAGTATTTTCGGCTAAGTTGGCATTCCTAGTTAAGACATTACCCATGGTAATTAACATAAATAGCCCAGATGCAACCCTTCAGTAGCAAGGATCCGATCCTCGCTAGAATACCAAAAATACCAGTTTTATGGATTTTGGGGATTTTGTGCATCCTACATCCACTCTAGACGCCACGATTTCCTCCTCTTTGTCGCAAGCTTCTCCCGAGATCGGTTCGTTCTCTGCAAAAAGTGCTATAATTTTCAAACCCGTCCGCATCCACACATCCGCGTGTGAAATTCTAGGAATTTTGGTTGAGCAGTACGACCTGTTATCACTCCCAATATTGGTGGTAAGATTATTCGACGATATATTGGAAAAATCTAATTGTAATTCCTGGAAAACAGCAGTGACCAGAGACACGTGCAAATTCTCGGAATTGACGGAAGTTTTACAGCCCTCCCTGTGCGCACAGCAAGGAGCAGGTGCCGCGTGCAGCGATTCATCAGCGGAACCATACATTTCTTCAGCGCCAGGCCATAATCGCCATTTGGGATTCTTATACCGCACACCGCGTGAAAGGAATCTGACTTCTTTGCCACACCTGGATTAATTTCATCATCGGCATACCATAAGCGGCTTCAAAATCGCAGCAGTCAACCCGCGTGAGGTTTTGACCTTGCCAAGCCCGCACCACGATCTACAAGTCAGATCAAGTTGCAGTTCGGGCGAAAAACGCACCGGCGCCGATTCGGCGTAATTCGGACAAGACATCGGAGGCGGACGCCGCATCCCAATTGGAACTTCAGTTCCAATTCTGCTTCCAGTTAATTTTGGCCGGGACTGCCAACTCGTTTTTGTATCGCTAAAGCGATTGTAGTTTAATTTTCTTATTCTAAATATTTGTACGACAAGTTTCTAATTTAATTTACGATTCCTATTTAGCTTTTATACTTGCGTGTGTGCTTACGACATAGTATGACATATATACACCTAAATTAAATTATCCTACAGCGCACATCGATCGTCATCAGGCCTGCTGACTTCGTTGGACGGCATAGCCGTAAATCATTTACATTCCTACATATATATTCATTCTTTTCTGAGCCCGCACACTTTTGGTACCAATATATACATGTAATTTTTCCACATTCGCGTATTGATATAAATATTAAATAAGAATCGTTTGCACTTATATAATTTAACGTAATACGCCTAAGTGATTTCCTGTAATTGTTGAATAAGCTTGCCGCATATCGATAAAATATGTAATCAGTTTCGTAATAATTTAACGTAAACAAAATATCCATTTCTTTTCCTATTTGATAATCTTGTACTGACACTCGATCATATAGAGAGTCTTTTGGCGTAAAGAACGCTTAGTTCTAAGGCTTTAGTGTTAGGATTTGTAGTATTAAGAACCATGAACCATATTATCGTATTTGCCGTATTAAATGAAATTTAAGATGAATTAGTTTGTGATCTTTTGAGGGCACCTTAGAGGATGTAGCGCAGCGGTTGTTTTAAGGGTGGAGTCTAATGTGACTTCACAGGTAGGGTGGGTATAGAAGGTGGCCAATAACATCTGGGCCTCCGTCTTCGATAGGTACAGTCTCTCGTCCGAATCTTAGCCGATGGGTTAAAAATCCTTATCGTTACCGTCTCTCTGTCTACTATTGTTAGTTCTGTGACACTCTTGTTTCATCTTAAGACAAACCCACACCCATCTCCCTGAGCAGGCCGGTCAAAGCGTAGACAGAGGTGTTAGGGTGGACAACGCTCAGAGAGTGTGTTCGTTACATTGTATCAAAATTGGACTCCTAAAAATCAAGAAAAAAGATTGTCAAAAAGCGCGTGAGCCCATTTGTTGACAGTTCATGAACGGTCGTTCGTAAAATGTGACCGAAACTTTAGGTCGGGTTCCGAACGAATGGTGTCAGTTTAAGAACATTACGGTCTTAGCCTGAGAACATCTAAAAAATCTAAAAAAAAAACGAGGTTTGTGTACACGCTAGACTTTCTGGACGCCTGGTAAAGATTTATTTAATTTCCCACCTTATGTTTTGTTATTGCTAGAATTCAATGTATTTTGGATATTTTGCTGAAGACAAAGAATTTATTTATTAATAGAAGTGCATATAAACGTTAGAAATATTATTTTTATAAAACTTACAATTCACAACCGTCTTCTCGCGGACTCGAACCTGTGCTACCATGTGTCGGAGCCGGACGCTCTAGCAGCTGGACCACCGAGCCAATTTTTTGAGCTCGGACAATCGGGACACTAGACCTACATACATGTTTTTATGAACGATGTTGATAATTTATCGATTTCGATAGACTTTAACGCGTCTATCGCAGCTTTTTCATGAACGGCGTTCGATATCTGAGAACATTTTTCGCAATTTGAAACCAAGTTGTTCGTCGGTAGAAATTGTTACCAACACCGTTCGATTTTCGTGAACAAACGTTCGAAATGTGAGAACTTAAAATGGAGAACGGATTGTTCGCATTTCATGAAAAATGTTCTTGATTTTTTTCGTTCTTTTTTTTCTGGGTGTAGGAACGAACGGAAAAGTGGTGGGAGAATAAAATGAAACAAATTATAGCTTCGGTGCTTTTTGACATATTATCTTAAAGTATTTGGAATATAATTTTTTTTATTTTTAGGAACTTCGAATTCAGTTTAATAAAAATCGGACGACTCTAACCTATAGCTGTCAAAGAAACGGACAGATAAAAATAATAAAATAATTATTTGTAAAAATTTTTTGCTCTGTTGATTTTAATCGTATTTTCGTTTACTCTGGGATATAGAATATTTTATCTTTTCAGCATTACGAACTTAATTTTACACAAATATCAATAATGCTAGCAGCAAGCCTTAAGAATTTAACATGGTGTTAGTAACATTGATTATGTCTTATAGCTGCAAGGGTATACAAAGTTCGGCTTGCCGAAGTTAACTTACTTTCTTGTTTCAAATATATTGTCGATTACTTGCATGGAAACTTTATGATATAGTTGCCCGATCTTGTCCGATCCGATTTATATATGAGTGATTTTTTGTGAAACGTATCGAAATTTTCTTTATTGTTTCAAAACAGTTTAAAATTTTTTCACGATGCTATACCATTTATATATGATTAAAAAAAAAAAGGAAGAACGCTATAGTCGAGTACCTCGACTATTAGATACCCGTCACTCAGCTTAAGGGACCAAATGGGAATAAAGATATGCAAGCAGCAAAGCGAGATTGAAATGCGCCACCTACCCGCGACCTCAATAAATGGCTATGTGACTGACTTAAGCGTTATGGGCTTTAACCCTCCGTTGTACACACGGGTCTGGCCAGACCTTTTGACTTTGAACCTAAATTTAACACATTTCTATTATAGGTAGCGACTTGGCCTTCAAGGTAGCTTCCTAAAATTTAATTCTCTATCGATTTATGCATATGAGGATTAAACAAGGAAGAACGCTATAGTCGAGTACCTCGACTATCAGATACCCGTTACTCAGCTATATGGAGATATGCAAGCAGCAAAGCGAGATTAAAATGCGCCACCTACCGGCGGTATACAGATTTAAGCGTTATGGGCGTTAGAGTGGGCGTGGCAAATTTTTACTCTACGAGTAACGGGTATAAAAAAGATCCTAGAATAGGACGAAAAAAAGGATTTAAAAAGGTCTGGCTGGACCCCTATGTATTTACCTGCATTTGTATGGGAATATATGGCATATGCGAGGTCAATTAGAAGCATCGAAGGTATATTTTTTGAATTTCTTACCTCTCTCATTGGTTTTGGCATGTATTGAGCTACCTACAGAAGCAAAAATAATAGCAAAATATTTTTGGGTTTGTGAAGAAATACAATTTTTGTTTTGTCCTTTTTTGTTCTTTATTATACCCGTTACTCGTAGAGTAAAAGGGTATACTAGATTCGTCGGAAAGTATGTAACAGGCAGAAGGAAGCGTTTCCGACCCCACAAAGTATATATATTCTTGATCAGGATCACTAGCCGAGTCGATCTAGCCATGTCCGTCTGTCCGTCTGTCTGTCCGTCCGGATGAACGCTGAGATCTCGGAAACTATGGGAGCTAGGCTATTGAGATTTGGCGTGCAGATTCCTGAGCTTCTTACGCAGCGCAAGTTTGTTTCGGCACAGTTCCACGCCCACTCTAACGCCCACAAACCGCCCAAAACTGTGGCTCCTACAGTTTTGATGCTAGATAGAAAATTTTAACTGAAATGTATTGTTCTTATCAATACCTATCGATTGACCCAAAAAAAAGTTTGCCACGCCCACTTTAACGCCCACAAACCGCAAAAATCTGTGACGCCCACAATTTTCATGCTAGATAAAAAATTTTAACTGAAATGTATTGGTCTCGTCGATACCTATCGATCGATCCGTGATGCCACGCCCACTCTAACGCCCATAACGCTTAAATCTGTATACCGCCGGTAGGTGGCGCATTTTAATCTCGCTTTGCTGCTTGCATATCTCCATATAGCTGAGTAACGGGTATCTGATAGTCGAGGTACTCGACTATAGCGTTCTTCCTTGTTTTGACTCATTTCAAAGAAGGTTGATGAAAGAAAAAGCGATGATTCTGTTGCCAAGCGAGTGGCAAACTGAGAAATGACGCTTGGTTTGATCATACGATTTTCGATATTTGCAAGGACCAATGTTTCCGATAAAGGCTAAATGGACCCAACTAATGGATTGTAGTTAAATAACTATTTTTACAGTTATCCAACACATAAAATATATTTAGTGAATTGTTTTTATAGTTCATATATACCTTAAAATTGACAACGTTAATGATGAATCATAGAATCGTCACTGTAGCATGGTAATTTATGAGCAATATAAAAAAAGTAATTTTCAAATTGCACTTTTTTAAGGTGACTTCATGCTAGGGTGGAAGTATTTAAAAAACTTCGCATAATATATGTTTTAAGTAAGTCTTGTTTTCCGAGTTTGACTTGATAGTCTAAGTGTACAAGACGTTATAACCAGTTGGCAATTATAAGCAACATATTGGAGAAAATTTGTAAGGTTATTGTTGCATACTTTTGCGTGAAAGATTTTACGTCAGGATAACTACTTTTGATAGTTAATAAACTTTTTACTACTGCAAAAACAAAATACACACAATCCTTGATTGTATCTATGTTATTAGTTACTTAACTATTTAATTGTAAGCAAAGCAAAAATTAGTACATACACAACCATTTGTAAAGTACATTTTTTTATAGTTAATATACTATCTGCATTGGTGAATTTTACCAACAACATTTTTTGTGTGTAACTGCAATAGAGAGCAGACCTTTGAATCGAGTGAATTTCGTTGAACGCCGTTAGCCGCGGCCCAAAAAATAAGAACTTTAATCTTTGGCGGTGTTCGTGTAATAACGGTGTGAAATTTGAAAATTAACAAGGACGCTATAGTCCTCGTCTAGTACCTCGTCTATCAGGTACCCGTTACTCAGCTAAAGGGACCAAAGGGAAATGGAGATATGCAAGTAGCAAAGCGAGATTGTAATGCGTCACCTACCCGCTATCTCAATATATGGTTATGTAGGCGGCAGACAGATTTTTTTTGGTTCAGCCGATAGATATTGACGAGATCAATTAATTTCAGTTAAAATTATTTTTCTAGCATTTGTGCGGTTTGTCGGCTTTGTTGGTCGTGGCACCCTGCTGAAACAAACTTTCTAGCTTTTGTAGTTTCCGAGATATCAGCGTTCATCCGGACGGACAGACAGACGGGCATGGCTAGATCGACTCGGCTAGTGATCCTGATCAAGAATATATATACTTTATGGAGTCGGAAACTCTACCCTCTTCCTATTGCATACTTTGCGACGAATCTAGTATACCCTTTTACTCTACGAGTAACGGGTATAAAAATGGAAGGAAAACCCCAAAAACGCCTAAAGGATGTCAGTGCAGATGAAAAAGGAGTCCACGCTGTTGCCCACTATTGTGGGATTTCACCGACAGGAAGCAATTCCACGACAGGGCAAGTCCACAAAATAGTTAAAGTTCTGGAGGAGATCCACTAGAGAATAACAGTGGGAAGGAACATGCCAAGTGAACTTCGCTCCCTACATGGACATAATGCCGGGCGTGTCCTCGCAAAGAAAGTAAGATCTGGCCAAAAGAATTTGTTTACGTTGTACTAATAGAAGTATCTTTTTAGCAGAACCACCCCATACGATCTCCGACGACCTCTCCATTAGCACTCTGTACAACACCACTACCAGCTACTTGGCAGCTTAAGCGGAGCTGGCGGACGCGGTGGTTTCTATATGGAGGAGGCGAAGTCGCGAACGATGATCAGCAGATATCGAGATAGTCGCGGCCATACTGTCCAATTAGGTAGATGCAGCTAGAAGTGATACTACATATTTTTCTTTGTGCTCAAAATTAAATAGCAGCCGGGGTCCCAATACATACCAGCCTGACTTGGCTGCCCAGCAACCGGTGTCCGTTCGACCCGTACCAACGACCATCCAGAAAAGCCTTCTCAGTCGACGCCGACGACATCAAACATTTCCCGGTGAGTCCGTTCCGGTGTACCGCGTCCACCTCATCTCGGGGACTTCCAGCCGTCGCATCGCGGCGTTGGTAGGTATCGCCATTTTGTCGGGCGGCCGAACCTCCGACTGCCCTTGCATAACTCACCGGAGAGCGCCAGTTTTCTTTCCTAGAGACCTGTATCGCTGCAGGCCTCCGGCGGGAAGTCATCAGCCCCGACTATCATCGCCTCCAGGCCCGGCCCAACAGTGGCTGAAATTTAGGAAAAATTAAATACACGTGTACCTTGATTATATATATCGATATTTACTTCCCTGTTTGTGAATTTATCCGGAGTTAGACCCGAGAGCCTTATTTGTCCTCGTTGTTTGCCTAAAGTTTAAAAGGTCGCGAGCAATAGTTAAATGGTATAGCTTACAGTGCAGTTACGTACCTTTTTGGCCTGTCCCTTCTTTTCCCCTGGAGCTCCTCAGGATTAGATGACCATACACACGCGCATCGCGCATGTTCCTTTGAGGGCCGCGTTTCCATGCGAGCTCTACCAATACATGACTGGTAGAGCATAGTTTCCGCGGCGCCTGCACCCTTTTCCAGCAAAACAAATCCTCTGCTTTGACCGCGTAAAAATCCGAGACGGCGGCCAGGTTTCGGTCTTAAAGGCTGAGGAAGGATAGATCTGTTAAGAGGAGCACGTATTTAAACGATTGTACTTACGATATTTATTAAACCTTTGTAATACCCACAATGTGTGAGTAAGCTTTCCCAGTGGGGGAGGTGGAACCGTCGTAGTCGCGAGGAGGGGGCTCCTGCCGACAGAGAATGGATGGTGCCCTGCAGCGCCTCGAGGGCACTCATGGTCGGGTGGGAGCGCTTGGCTAGGTCACCGATAGCCAGCAAATGTAATCTGTTTTTCCGTCAATACTTGTAGTTTTTTTTTGCTTTGTCTACGTTTTTGCCATTAGTGATGACCGATAGTTTGTTAATGTGAGACAGAGAAGTTATCGATACTTATGTTGCGAGCTGTGGCATTAGGGGTATTCCGCCCTGAGAAAAGACTGAGCCAGCGGCACTGCCACCAAAAAAACCAACGTTGGGCCCGAACCCACGACCCTGATATTAAGAGTCTCATGCTCTACCGACTGAGCTAGCCGGGCTGTGGCATTAGGGATACTCTGCCCTGAGAAAAGACTGAGCTAGCGGCACTCCCACCAAAAAAAGCAGTTCGTAACATTGTTTAAATTGCTCCAATTGATTTGTTTTCGGTTTGTCAACTAGGGATGTCGAAAATATATCAAAATATCGATATATCGATTATATATATTTTTTTTAATATTATCATAGCGATATTTTTGAGCCGAAATATCGAATATCGGTACTATTTGTAAATTATATTTTGGTCCTTTCCAATTGTTTTTCGTTTTTCATTCAACCCGTATATATTTATAAATTTTTTAAAGTCCTTTTCTTGGAGACCGTTTTCCTGCCCAAATTTGTGATTATTGAATCAAAATATATAAAGAACATAAGCTTTCATTATATAATTCTTCTATTTAATACAAAATGTGAAATTGACTTAAAAACATTTTTCGATTTCTTCAATTTCTTCATATCTTGTTTGTGAAAGCAAAGGGTGCTGTGTGCTGTGAATTTTAAATGAGCAGTCTGTGATGTCCTTTCCCATTAAAATTTAAATATTTTTTAAATATTTTAAATTGATATTTTCAAATATCATTTTATTTTTTTAAAAAATTCGACAACCTTATTGTCAACAAGCCCCGCTGCTTGACGGTAAGACCATGCTACATGCATTGCAGGTGAACTTGAAAACTTCGGTCACACTACAAAGATTACGATTTTTAGACTAGTAAAACTAGCAGAAACATAGATGTTTTTCGATGTTACATCAATGTTTGCCTGTTAAAACATCGAAAAAGCGATGTTTTCTGCACCTCTAACTCCTAGCCGATCTGAGTACTAGGCTTTAAGAGTACACCCAGAAAAAAAAAGAACGAGAAAAATCAGGATCATTTTTCATGATTTGACAACAATCCTTTTATAGGAAACGAATGCCGCGTGGTCAAATCATGAGCATTTAGGTGAAATTATAAACGCGTCACTGAAAAATGCGTTGCGACAGAAATGGGATGAACACCGTTCTTAAATTTCCATGTTCGTACTTCAAAAATTTGCTTGGTGGTCCAGCTGCGTCCGCCCTTGACACATGGTAGCACAGGTTCGAGTCCGGGAGAATACGTTTTATTAAAATATTATTTCTTATGATTATACAGGTTGGCCCATCTAGCGTTTGCTTTTTGAACTATCGATAATTTTGACTTTGAGCCGCATGACCATCCAATGCGTTTTCGGTTCGCGGAATGGGCTCAGGAGCGCTTGGTCGAAGATGACAATTTTTACCGAAAAATCGTGTTCACTGATGAGGTCCACTTCCACCTCGGTGGTTATGTTAATAAGCAAAACTGTCGCATTTGGGGTTTAGAAAATCCACACGTCGTCTTGGAGAAGCCAATGCATCCACAACGAGTGGCTGTTTGCTGCGGTATGTGGTCGGGTGGCATCTTTGGGCCGTTTTTCTTTGAAAACGAGGAAGGAGCCACCGTAACCGTTAATGATGTCCGCTATCGCGGCATTTTGGAAGACTTTTTCTTTCCCCGAATGGAAGAGGTAGACATAGACGACATATGGTTCCAGCAGGACCGCGCTACGTGCCACACAGCAACGTCACAATCGATCTTTTGCGCGGTACGGCGATGTCAACTGGCCGCCTCGCAGCTGCGATTTGACCCCGTTGGACTATTTTTTGTGGGGTACCGTAAAGGATAAGTGTAACGCCAACCACCCAGAGACGATTGACGACCTAAAGCACGAGATTAAAGTCGCCATCAGGGCCATTGAGGGCCATACCATCGAAAATCTGTTTAAAAATTGGGTCGACCGAATGGGCTACTGTAAAGCCAGCCGAAGCAGCCATATGAACGAAGTGGTGTTTCATACATAAATCGCATTGTTGAGGCTATCCAATAAAAAAAAAATTTTTGAAAAATATAAACTTGTATTTTTATAGCGATTTTAAAACGCAAATCTTTCGTGGGCCACCCTTTATGATTATATGAACTTCTTATAATAAATATAGTCTTTGTCACTAACAAAATATCCAAAATCGTTAAACTCTAACAATACCAACAAAATGTAAGGAAATTAACAGATTTTTTTCTGAGTATAGTACTCAGATCGGCTAAGAGTTTACCTAGTCAAAAACTCTTATTATTTGAAGTTTGACCTAAGTTTCCAAAGATCCCCCGCAATGCACTTAGCATGGTCTTACTATCAAGCAGCTGGGTTTGTTGACAAACGGAGAAGAAATCAACTGGAGCAATTTTAAAAAGGAGAGTCTGCTGGTGCACAAAGGAACTAAAATAAAAATAAATGGAATTTTCAACGAATGTTTTTATTTATGTAAATTAGTAGTTTAAAGCTTCCTTCTCGTCCCACGGATGCTTCGCCGTTTTTCCCGCTCCACCGCAGTACAGCTCCGAGTCCCAATAGGCATATTGGACCTTAAGGAAGTGGGAGAACGGGGTTGATCTGCTGATGCTGCAGGAAGTCACCCAGCATCCTGGCAGTGGCTGGCTATGGCTTCTCCAACTGTTCCTTAGCGGGCGCCCAATTTTCCTCCTCCCTATAAAGCCAGCGGGTCCTCCAGCTCCGCTTAAGCTGCCAAGTAGCTGGTGGTGGTGGTGTCCGGAGTCCTAATGGAGAGGTCGTCGGAGATCGTATTACTGGTGGTTCTACTAAAAAACAAGGGAGAACGCTACAGTCGAGTACCTCGACTATCAGATACCCGTTACTCAGCTAAATGGAGATATGCAAGCAGCAAAGCGAGATTAAAATGCGCCACCTACCGGCGGTATACAGATTTAAGCGTTATGGGCGTTAGAGTGGGCGTGGCAAATTTTTGTTTGGATCAATCGATAGGTATTGACGAGACCAATACATTTCAGTTAAAATTTTTTATCTAGCATGAAAATTGTGGGCGTCACAGGGTTTTGCGGTTTGTGGGCGTTAAAGTGGGCGTGGCAAACTTTTTTTTTTGGTCAATCGATAGGTATTGATGAGAACATTACATTTCAGTTAAAATTTTCTATCTAGCATCAAAACTGTAGGAGCCACAGTTTTGGGCGGTTTGTGGGCGTTAGAGTGGGCGTGGCAGTCTACTGAAACAAACTTGCGCTGCGTAGGAAGCTCAGGAATCTGCACGCCAAATCTCAATAGCCTAGCTCCCATAGTTTCCGAGATCTCAGCGTTCATTTGGACAGACGGACAGACGGACATGGCTAGATCGACTCGGCTAGTGATCCTGATCAAGAATATATATACTTTATGGGGTCGGCAACGCTTCCTTCTGCCTGTTACATACTTTCCGACGAATCTAGTATACCCTTTTACTCTACGAGTAACGGGTATAAATACTTCTATTAGTATAGCGTAAACAAATTCTTTTGACCAGAACTTACCATCTCTGCGAGGACACGACCAGCAGAATGTCGGTGTAGGGAACGAGTCCCACCCGACATGTTCCTTTCCATTCTGGGTGAACTTCCGTTTCGCTCGAACGCCCGACTTCGTCCAAACTTTCAATATTTGGGGTCCTGATTACGGGAAAAATAGTCAAAGTTGGCGCAAATAACGGAACCATGGAAAATAACGGTAAATACTGTTTTTCGTAGATATCTTCAAATATATTAACTTAATCAAAGTTTGGCAGGGAAAAATGAAAGCTATTAAAGAAATGAGTAATTTAAGTTTTCACATTTTTTCTGTAAAACTAATAGTTTTCGTTAAAAACGCTAAATAAGATTACATTTTTACGAGGTTTGAAAATAATAAACCGTTGCAGCACACTTGCGCCATTTTGCCCGATGTATCGCACGAATGCTTGTTGTTATATCGGTGTGTCGATATTGATATCGATGTCACTCAATGTTTTAGTGATGGTACGACCAAAACACGAGAACGGCATTAAAATTTTTAAGAACACGAAATTAAAATAATAAAGTCTAATTTAAAAGTATAAGCAAAATATAAATGTTTGATAGAGCATTTCAGTTGACGTAGTTAAAAATTAAGGTAAGAAAACAAAATAAAATTCAAATTATAAAACAAAAATGAAATGTATTAACAAAAATTATATAAAAAGCAGAAAAAAAAATTTCTAACAAAAATCGTCCCGAAAATTTTTGTTTGCGGCGCTTGACTTCCTCAGGTTTAGTACTATCTTCAGTATGTATGTGTGTACAAGATATATCGTAAAAAAATCTAAAAAGGTCCATCACCTATAAACCGTAATCGATTAATCGAAACTACTTGACGCCATTTTTAAAGTGGGGTATTGAAATATTTTTAAAAGTTCACCTCCGATTTAAAATATTTTTTTTGGTTTTATTCGAAAGTTATGAAGATTTCGGAAAAAATGATTATAACAAAAAAGATCCGTTTTGTAAGTATTTTCTGTTTTTGTCCGAAAAATCCAAAAAATTACCGTTTTTACCGTTATTTTCCAAGATCCCGTTATTCGCGCCAACTTTGACTATTTTTCCCGTAATCAAGACCCGAAAACACGTCGATATGGAAAGTTTGAACAAAATCGGGCGTTGGAGCTAAACGGAAGTTTATCCCCAATTTCTAGTGAATCTTCTCCAGCACTTCAACTATTCAGCGAATTTGCCCCTTTGTGGTATTGCTTCCTGTCGGTGGAGTCCCACAATAATGGGCAACAGCTTGGATTAGGCGACCTTTTTCATCTGCACGCTTTTGGGGGTTTCCTTCCATTTTTAATTTTTAGTTTCCACACATTCCACATTCCACACATACATTTTTTAAGCCTAGTACCCACATCGACGAAATCTACGAGCTAACCATAGGAGTGAGCGAGAGGCAAATACGCAGCTAATGCTTTTCGTTGTGTCTGTTTTTTTGCGCGGTACTCAAATAAGCTAAGGATACCAGAACAAATACCAGATTTAACCAGGGGATTTTCGATGAACGCCGTGGAGTGTCACGCGTGACAGCTGACACGACCCCGGTTGTTCTACAGGTTATTCACGGGTGAAAACTTGTTTTCAGTAGTCTTTCTTTTATTGGAAATATGTTATAGATGGGTGTGAGGTAATGCCCTGAAACTATTTATTCAAACAACTATACGTTTGAATGAAATGTATTAAATCTGTTAAAGGATATCAGAAGGTATTTTAAAGAATTGGTATTTAAACGAATCTCATTTTCCGCGTCACCTGCAAAAGCATACAAGGGTGGTCAAAAGTATTTTCACAAAAAAAAAGTTAAATATATTCATAATTTGAACTTACATCTTGTTAACTTTGGCATCATAGAAAAGGTAATTTAAACGCCGTTTGAATGATACAATACATTTCTTAACACATTCAGTACTTATTGAAAAGGACGAATTTGTGTGAAAATGTCCTTTTTGAACTTTTTTCCTCGACTTGAAAACTTAAACAATATACAATATACAAAATATAAGCAAAATGATTTTTGAAAAATTCTTTTTGCAGTTACTATTATTTTTGTTTGAAGAAACTTTTTGCATCAAAAAATTTAAGTTTTCAAGTCGAGGAAAAAAGTTCAAAAAGGACATTTTCACACAAATTCGTCCATTTCAATAAGTACTGAATGTGTTAAGAAATGTATTGTATCATTATAACGGCATTTAAATTACCTTTCCATTGATGCCAGAGTTAACAAGATGTAAGTTCAAATTATGAATATATTTCACTTTTTTTTGTGAAAATACTTTTGACCACCCTTGTATATGAAAACACACACACAAATGCATACACACACATACGCATATCTTGTTTCCAGTATTCTTATTTTCATTAGTTTTCCACCTGGTTTAAATTTATTCGCACATTTTCTTTGTTTACTTAAACGCCTTTTAATAGTATGTGGCCACACTTAACGGCTGGCTATTTCCATTTGCCAGAGAACGAGACAGCAAGATGTGGAGGCCATGAAGTCACAGTGAACAGAGCGGAATAGAAAAAAATTGGGGAACTTGGTTAGAGAACCTTAGTTTCCAAAAAAAAAAATGGGTGCAGTTATTAAGATTATGAACAACAAATTTTAAAACCACTTTGGAAAAATTAATAACAGAGAAATGGGAAAAGAAAAGAAATGGAAAAGGACAAATGGAATTTTGAGGCAGTTTGGGTTCGCTTATTTTATCAATTTATATCAAGGCCGCGTCTATTTCCGAGTTTCTGTTTTTATACCCGTTAGAGTAGTCGTAGAAAAGGGGTATACTAGATTCGTCGGAAAGAATGTAACAGGTAGAAGGAAGCGTTTACGACTCCATAAAGTGTATACATACATACATATATTCTTGATCAGGATCACTAGCCGAGTCGATCTAGCCATGTCCGTCTGTCCGTGTGAACGCTTTGATCTCGCAAACTATAGGAGCGTGAGGTTTCTGAGTTCGATTCCTGAGCTTCTTACGCAGCACAAGATTGTTACGCGAATATTTTTTTCGATTTAGGAAACTTTGTTATACGACTTTCTATATCATGGTCACGCTCACAGACCAAAGATCCATCATATTAAGTCTTATCCCTTATTTTTGACAATGATAGGTCGGACCCCAGTTTAGATCTTTGATCAGCAAAATGAACGTCTCGTGTCTAAAACAAATTCCGAAAGCTCATGCTCATGCCTCACCGGATTTAATGGGGCTCTCCGTTAGCCCTGTGGTGCTTTGTTGTTGGGGCTGGTGGAGTTGTTGTCGTCCCCGGTTAATTCACATTCAATTCAGTCAGCCGACGATTGTTGAACCCGACCGACGTGCGCGTATCGTAGCTGGCTTGATCCGCGGCTTTACTTGTTTAGCGTCATCGCGCAAATATTAGGGTTTTGCTTTATTTCTGTGGCGTAGTTTTTTTCGGTTCTGTGAAACTTTAATCAAGATCAGCATTAAACAAGGTGCGTACAAAATAAGTTGTAAAATAAACGACAGGAGCCGCTGGAAAAGCCAAAAAATAAACGTCTGTGAGTGTGAAAAAATAAAAACACAAATCGTAAACTACTACTACCTGCACTTGAAAACGTACTTGAATACACCCATACAGACAAGAATAAAAAAGGCTAATACGAGCTAAAAACACGTTGCTGACCCTGGAGGCAGAGCCTCGTGATTTTCCAAGAAGATGTAAAGCCCACTCTTTAGACACCAAACTCGCTTATATTATTTAGTATATGTATTCAAGTTGCAGTTTATTGCACTTTTTACGTATCTTTCATAAATTGTGTTTCTCTGGGGTAAAGCACAATTTCACTCTTTAATTGGAAATTCTATATTTCTGCGATGTACTAACCCATAAGCATCCATCAAAAACTTGGTGTGTTTGGATAAAAATGCAATGTAAAATGTTATTTCGATACTTGCCATTTATTTAACTTTGAATTGTCTTGCCTTGTCAGGTTCCTCGTCCATAAAATGCTGCAAATAAACAAACAATTATGAAATACAGGATTTTTCAAATGTGGAAAATTTTACACTTTTAGCCTTCGGTACGATTCCCAATAATTAATTTACAATCATAGCAACTTTTGATGCTGTACATGATGTTGTAACTCACTATATACCTATGTATTTTCGGTAGTCGCATGGCTAATTCTATACCTCATGTTCTCTTGGAAATTTTATAAGAAACAGGGGAGAACGCTATAGTCGAGTCTCTCCACTACCTCTTACTAAGCTAAAGGAAGTGCAAGGGAGATGGTGATATACAATCAGTGGTTTGTGGGCGTTAGAGTGGTCGTGCCAACCTTTTTAAAGGTCAGTTAATAGGTATTGACTAATCAAATACATTTCAGCTAACATTTTTATTTTAGTATCAAAACTGTGTGTTTGTAGGCGGTAAAATGGGCATAGAGTGGCACATTCGGATAACAAATGTGCCCTGAATCAGAAGCTAAGGAATCTGTATATGAAATCTCAACCCTCTAGGTTTTATAGTTTCTGAGACAAAGGACTTGGCTAGAGATCCTGATCGACAATATATGTTTGTACTTTATAAGATTAAAAAAACATGCTTTCCCCCGAAAAAAATGTCCATGTTTTTAAAAACATTTTATAATAAATTGTATATTAGCTGCCCACAACATAATAGATTAATACTTGTACTCTACTTAGTATTATATGTCCCAAAAAACGGAAACACAATAGTGTGTGGTTATCAACATAATTTTGATAAATTATATATATCACAGCGATTTGTTAACATTCTGAAAACTGTTCCATTCGTCATATCTTATCTGTTATCGTAAACAACAAAAAAAGTACCCATATCATGTTGAAGCCATTAACTTTAAAATTAAACCTAACGTTGAATTTGAGACTGTGTGATGGTTGACAACTGTCTTTAACTTGCATTATTAAGAAGTTCCCGAGTCAACCGGTCAACCCACTATAACGCAGCTTTTAGCCCTCGCGCTATATAGCCATGCGCAAGTAATTACTGATAAAAATTGAAGCAAATAGAGGACAAACAAAATACTTGGCTAGTGGATTTGGCACAGATAAGTGTGCGTTTTATATACTATTATTGTACACCGCACATACATTCTAAGGAAGCAACTTGGAAAACGTGACTCGCTTATGCTGAAATCACTTTTAGTTCCGAGGTTTTTACCCTACTCAATTAAGGAGTCAACCATTTAATCGGTGCCCTTAAAGCTGTAAAAAATAACAAGAAAGAAAGGATATAGTTCCGTTTACTACCGTACCCGATCGTCGTCCACGAAAATCGTTAAATTTTTTTAAAATGCTATACAAAATTCTGAAATATATGGGTTCGGAAACGTCTCCTTCACTACGTTGCAGACTTCTGACTGAAATCATTATACCCTCTGCAAGGGTATAAAAATGTCCACTGGTTTCAGAGCTCCCTAGTGATTTGACTACGGTAAACAGACAACAAGGTGATACGCCGTTTTCAATAAAAACTTTTCAGTGTTATACAATTTTGGCGTGCTTGTTTAACAGATCCAAATCATTCACAAAAATTAGCACCAAACATTTTCTTCCGCCTTTTCAAACTTTATTTTAAATTTTTATAAAACTTGTTTTTAAATCATTAAGCGTGTATATTACCACAGAAAGTCAAGCCGACAAATACGACTCGAAAATATTTGTGAACGTCATTACGCTCGAGATACTAATTTATAAGATCAACAGAGAACGGTACGCGAGCTTTAAAAACTGAAATTTAAAATATAACACTCGAGAAGGAGTCCGCAGTTGCGAAAACGATTAAAAGGGGTTTCGGTTGCCAAGAGAAACTCGGCGGCAATGAGGTCCAACTCGATTGGAAACAACTCCGTCTCAGAGGTCTGATGCTTGTCAAAGCCTAAAAATTGAAACGAGGCCAGTGCGCGCTACTTTTCGTCTGTGGTTTTTAGTTTACCATGAACCGAGGGGGCACTATATTACAAATACAAACGATATACTTATGTGTTCAACCAGCAAGTCTGGCTGCGGTTAATGACACCTGCTTTCGTTCTTTTTGGACGGTTATGGAGGCGAGTTCCAGCTGCCCGAGGTGTGTGAATAAATTTTTTTTGACAAGTTTTTGTAATTTACGCTGCGCATTTAATCAAAAAATCAAAAAAAAACCATCTGGTGCAATTTAACTTAAAAATTAGATATAAATAAGTTAATGATAAAAAAACTTATTTCCTTTAACCTAAATTGTACGTGTTCCAACAGCTTACTGAAATTAATATAAACTTTTTTGTAATTTAGAAAAAGACAGTAAAAATTGAGAAAATAAAAAAAATGTAAAATTTGTTTTAAAACGACTATTAACAAGAAAGAAGGCTAGTGTCGAGTGTAGATAGGTATTTATCAATAAAATTCATTTCAATCTACGTAATTTTCTACGTGATAGTGTACGCGAAAGCAAACACAGCAAGAGAGAACAACAAGAGAACTATCAGATACCCGTTACTCAGCTAAGGGGAATGTGCATCTCCAGCAAGCGGCCAAACGACTGTTCCCAATATTGTTCACTTCATTTACCTATAACCTTTTACTTTCGATTTTATTGCCCAAAAAATAGTAATAATACTTTGGTATGATTTAAGATTTGTTTGATAGTTGATGAACTTAAGCAATAAAATCGAAAGTAACATGAAAATAAATAAATAATAAATAATTTTCCAGCTTTTTATTTATTTTGGACGGAAAACTATTCCATTCCTTTTAAATTGTTTATAAATTTATTGGGGCAGGATATTTAAAGAGTACGCTACCAGGGAGTTTTTATTACTTTTTCATCAGTGTAGTATTTAAAATTTTAGCATCGACATTACTCAAAGCAATGTTAAACTCAATTAAATGAAGCAGGAACTCAATTTTAATTTATACTTCGCAAGCTAATAATAAAATTGGATTAAATAGTAATATAATGGATCAAGTCGATAAAGTACTCGTGTTTCCTCGCAATGCAAAAACAATTGTTTTTTACCCTCTATAATGTTCATTTCGTCGTTTATTATGTTGTATATTACTGCTACAAAACCAGTTGTATTGTCATTAAATTTTTGTAAAGGGATGCTAGCCAGCCATATAAGAAGTTAATTAAGTAAAATGCATTAGATTAATACTATCTTAAAAATTGTCCATAATAAAAGTCAGTTTACAGACTGACTCCTCAAATTAAGACAGTTGTTATACCATTTGTTTCTTAATATTATGTAACTTCCATTATTCATTTACGTTTTTCGTTTATTTGTTTTTGAAAGAATTTACCGCAAAGCATGCAAAGCATGCATCGCTTCAGTGATTTGTATAATGATATATTGTAATCCGATTGTTATTGCTTACGGTTTTGTCTCTATATTTGTTTATTTCTTTGTTGCAAATGCTTATTTGCAAATGCTTACCTGTGACATAAGATTTTGTTTATCGAATCGGCGAACCAATCCGATTTTACCATAGTTCAAAGGTTATTTCAAAAGATTGGGCATGTTGTTTTAATGAAATATTATTCCCAATAATTTGGGCAGTCCATTAAAAGGATAGAGACAGCAACTCTAGTTTACCCTAATGTTGTATTCAGTAAGTGTCATTTATCTGGTTATGTCAGGATACGTTTCAGTTATAACTTAGGTTTGTTTATTGAGACTTTTAATAAACAACCCTTATGAAAAAATAATTATAAATAGTGAAATTACCATATTTAATAATATTAGGAATAGATAACTTGAAGTAATCTTCTTATCATATTATATTCTGTCGCATTAGGTAAGAAAAAAGGAAGAACGCTATAGCCAAGTGCCTCATCCAACAGATACCCGTTACTCAGCTAAGGGGAGCAATGGAAAGACGGAGATATACATTTATATACATATATATAAAGCATAACGATATTTATTCTAGTAAACAAATTGTGGGCGCCACAGTTTTGGTCGGTTTTTGGTCCTTAGAGTGGGCGTGGCATATTTGCGTAACAAACTTGTACTGCGTAAGAAGCTTAGAACTCGAAATCTAAAACCTCAACTCTAGCTCCTATAGTTTCCGAGATCAAAGCGTTCACACGGACAGACGGACATAGCTAGATCGACACGGCTAGTGATCCTGATCAAGAATATGTATATTTTATGGGGCCGTAAACGCTTCCTTCTACTTGTTACTTACTTTTCTACGAATGTAACATACCCTTTTACTTTACGAGTAAAGCATACTACTTAGATCGGCTAAGAGTTTTACTAGACTAAAAGTCTTATTTTTTGTAATGTGACCTCAGTTTTCAATGCTCACCCGCAGTTTAAGTAACATGGTCTTTCTGTCAAGCGGCTGGATTTATTTGTTGACGATTTTAAAAAGACGAATCTGCTGGTGCACGAAGAAACACAAATAAATGGCATGTTCAAAGGATGTTTTTATTTATGTTAACAAGGTTAACATAAATAAAGGTAAAGGTAAAGGTTAAGGTTTTCTTATCTTGTCACGGATGCTTCGCCATTTTTTGCGCTCCATTAGC